CGTACATGGATGGATGGATGGGAAGATAGATGAATAGATGGACAGATGGATGGATGGGCTGATGGATGATAGACGGACAGATGCATGGATGGAGGGACGGAGGGACAGACAGCAGACTGAAGGAAGGAGTGCAGCAGGCTCAGTGCCCTTCCCGGGGCCCTTGGGGGAACCCCCCCCCATCGGCACCTGCTTGCGCCCCCGTGGCCGGCTCCCTCTGCAGCCGCCTGCCAGCGCGTGGTGAGCAGTCGTCTGGCGGGTGGCGTTTGTGGTCATTCCCTGTGGCACTCAGCTGTGGTCCCATTGGGGAGGGACAGCTGCATCGTCACTGTGAGGACCTCACCTGTCACTTCAGGTTACAGCAACACGCAGCTGGCCAGCCTGTACCTGCTGTCCGACGGCGAGTACTCCCTCCACAGCTTCGTCCTGCTCCAAAGGGATGTCACCTGGCCCTTCTACTCCTACCTGGACTTCGCTGTCCAGGAGGGTGCTGTCCAGTTTCAGAGGGTTCTGGGAACAGCCGCGGAAGAAGCCTACGAGGTGACCTCCCAGAGATGTTCCTTCCACGCATGGGTTTGGGGAAAGGATCTGAGGGGGCGGGATCCGTGTCCATCCTATTGCTGCACGAAACTCGGCAGCCACTGAGCGTGGGCCTTCGAACGTCACCAGTCCTGATGGCGTCCGCTGTGGGAGGGACGGCGCGGGGGAGAAGGGCACACAGAGCGAGGCAGAAGGCAGAGAGCAACAAGGCCTGGACAGGGACCCACAGTCACAAGACAGACGGACAGGCACGGGGAGGCACTGCGCGCTGGGGGTGCCGCCGGCGTGCAGGGCCCCCGGCCTTGGCCTGCATGCTCACGCCCTGCTCTGCCTCAGGGATTGTTCTACCAGACCCAGGAGAGGAAGCTGCAGTTCATGGCGGCCATGCACGGCCACACGAAGGTGGCGGTTCGCCAGGTGGCCACGGCCTTCGACCTGTCTCGGTTCACCTCTGCCTGCGACCTGGGAGGTGCGCACACTCCCCACCACAACACCCCCCCCCCCGACACTCTGTGTCCCTGGCTGTGTGCACATCTTTCCCTGGGTCACACGGCGGGTGGCTGATGTGCTCATGAGACCGCAACATGGGGTTCTCTCTTGAAAACACCCCAAGGACTCCTGAGCTGCCAGCTTGCTTGTCCCCATTCTCCCTGCACACCCTTCCTCCTCGTGGCCCAGACTGGCTGCTGAAGCAGCAGCCATCACGTCTGTGTTCACAAACAAGAAAAAGTTTGGGTGGTTACCAGACCTCCAGAACTTTGCCCTGAGATTCTCTTCTCACACTATGACCACGCCTCACTCTCCTGCTCACCTACACGGTCTTGACCTTGGAAAGCCCCGAGGCCCACACAAGGCACGGGCCAGGTCTGCACCGCAGCTGGCTTTACTGCACGTCTCTGGCTTCAGTGCGTGTTCCAGAACGTTGCTCGATTTGGCCTCGGTCCAACCTGGAAACTCACCCAGGCATCCCTCGGTGCCAGGAAGGTCAGGTGGTCAAGGGCGTGCTCTCCCCTGCAGGCTGCACAGGCGCCCTGGCCTACGAGCTGGCCAGACAGTACCCGGGGCTGAAGGTGGCCGTGTTGGACCTGCCAGAGGTCATTGAGGACGCCGCGCATTTCCGACCGGACGGACCGCAGACGGGGCGGGTCAGCTTCATGCCAGGTGAGTGCGTCTGTGCCTTGGCATCTGGGCTGCCCCGGGCTGACCTCTGACACTGCGTCTCCTCTTCTGTCCCTTCTCAGGACACTGTCACTGGACGCAGGGCCACGTGACCCAGGACCACCTCCTCTCTGATCCTTCCCTCATCCCACCTGCCAGACCATATGGCTCCATATGTTTCCATGTGGCTACAGTTTCCATATGGCCACGGTTTCTGGCATTAGGACATGGAGCGTGTGCTGGGGGACACTCACCCCACTACAAGCGGCCCGCCTTGCCCTTTCAGTTCAGAGGCGGTGCCGCCCGCTTCTGCCTGGGGAGAGCCAGTTCCGGGGTCTCTGACGGAACGATCCCCTTTTGTGTTCCACCAGGGGACTTCTTCCGAGACCCTCTCCCGGAGGCCGACCTCTACATCCTCTCCAAAGTTCTGCACAACTGGCCGGACGAGAAGGTGCACCAGCTGCTCAGCCGGATCTCCCGCAGCTGCAAACCAGGTGAGGCCGCGTCCGCCACGTCCTCGTCTAAATATTTGTTTTCACTGTTTACAAGGTTTCTTCATGGACATTTAGAGACAGGGGGAGGGAGGGAGAGACACGGGGATGTGAGACCAGGATTGGCTGCCTCGCCGCCCCCCCCCCCCCTGGAGACCTGTTCCCCAGCCCAGTCAGGAGCCGAGACTGGGCACAGAACCAGGGACGTCTCCCTGTGCAGGCCAGCAGGAAGTGCCCTCGGTCACAGAGGCCAGGGCACTTACTCTTCTCGTTTGTTTGTGTTCCAAAAGTCAGTAGCTTTCATTTCTAAGAAACGAGAAATGAACTTTGTCTTGGTAAGTGGCCGCCAGCCCCACTGTGGTGCTCAGTTTAGTGTCCTCAGAGGACACTCTTGATTCGAGGATGTGGAGACAAGTGACTGCACGCTGGGACAGCTGTGTCCGAGCTTGTTTCCCCGAGTGTCATGGTCCCGGCCCCGCAGGGCAGTGACAAAGCCTGGGGCCTCCTGCCCCACAAGACCCCTCCCGCACCTGCCCTGCCCCGTCCCTCCCTCCCCAGCCTCCCCCCCATCTCGCTGTCTGTCCCCGTGTGTCTGCCTACGTGCACGTCTGTCCTCTCTGTCTCCTGTGTCCTTGCCTCCCCCGCTGTTGTCCCGTGTCTGCGTGTGTCTCTGTCTTCCCTCTGTCTCCCTGTCTGACTCCCCAGCCTGCTGGTGTCTGTCTGCAGCCTGTACCATGAGGGCTGGCGTCCCTCAGGCCCCTTCCCCCACTTCCCGGGGCAGAACCCAGAGTCCACTCTCATGTACACAGGGGGCGGCCTGCTGGTGGTGGAGCTGCTGCTGGACGAGAAGTGCCAGTCTCTGATCCCCGTGCTGCAGTCGCTGACCATGATGGTGCTGTGCCTGAGCAGGGAGCGCACCCTGAGCGAGTACCGCAGCCTGCTGCAGGCTCACGGCTTCACCGACGTGCAGGCTGCGTACCTCGGGAGCACTGTGGACGCCATCCTGGCCACCAGAGCCTGACAGCCACCTGCATACAGGTCACAGGGTCACTCCCTCGGGAGACAGCAGCCCACAGTCCCCAAATGTGTCCCGTCAGGTGGAAAGTTGGCTGCAGGGGGCCGGCGTCACCCCGCAGGTGAAAGAACGTGGTCAGCCCCGGCTCTAGGAGCGGGGTGGTGGGGCTGCGCTGGACAGGGCAGTGCTCACTGGGTCCCTTCACACTTCAGCAGAGGCAGTCACCAGGGCACAGGCCGTGTCATTCCCATGTGTACGTTCCAGCTCCGCCACAGCCCCCATCAGCACAGTGTTAGATGCACAACTTGTGGACACGTGGTTTCTGCCTGAGATGGATTTTATACACAATCCGGATGTCGATTTACAAGACACACACACCTGCACGATTTACACAGTGCAGATAATCACAGCCACGCACCCGTGCACAGTCCTGGGTGGACACCTTGGTCCTGCACTCTCCCCTGTGCCCTGAGCCCAGGACCCACCCACGGGAGACCCCCGGCTGCCAGGGTGACAGCCAGGTGACCCTTGTGGGAACTGAGGAAGGGTCCCAGTCCCCTGACACCAAGTGCTGTCCCCTTATTGCTGCTGGAAATGTTCCTAGAAAGAATGAACACGGTGAGAAGACTCCCAGCCTGAGTGTCTGATTATTAGGGACACTGTGGGAACACAATGGCCTTCAGAGAGTCTGGGAAAGGAGGGGGGTGGGCACGCACCCATGTCTCTCTCATAAAGGGTTTTCCTCTGCAGGCATGGGCGGGGATCTCCCCGAGGTGGGGGTGACCTGAGCCCGCCCTCGGGTGCAGGTCCCTCATTCCTTTGCTCATTCAGGGGTGTGTGAGGGCCCCTGGACACAGGACTGTCTGGGTGGGTTGTCATGGGGTAAAGTCTGCCCTAAGGGGGTGGTTGTGGGGAACAGCTCAGGGCAGCAGCTTGCAGCAACAGGATCTGAGTGCACAGGGCCTCAGTCCTTCCTCTTCCCTGTCAGGTTCCCCTTTACGACTCGTTCCAAGTCTTCCCCTGACACCTTATGTCTTTAAAACTTGCCCCCCACACTTGTTTTGGAAAACGAGCCTATATATATTTCAGAGGTCTCTCTCCAATACTCAGGCCACACAGACTGAGTCACCTGGAGGCCCAGCATGGGCCGATCGCTGACCCCGTGAGTTGTCATTAAACCTGGGGATAGTGCTGAGGAATAGGAGCCTGTCCCCCGCCTCCCGCCTGATGTGTGAGCGCTGCCCCCTTGTGGACGCAGTGCAACACCGCCCCCCTTGCCTTCCTTTCCCAAGTCCGCTGTGCAGTGCACCTGCACCCTCCTCTCTCAGAGGGGTGTGCTCGCCGCCCTCGCACAATGCTTTCTAAGGTTCTGTGTTCTGCACCTTTAGCAAGAAAGGGGGAGGCCACAATTCTTCATCCGTTCCCGCATTCTGGAAGCATCTGTTGTCAGGCTTCCGTGTCCGGGGACCCTAGGGTGCTGAGCGGTGGGGTGGGCCTGGCCACACAGGCGCCTGGGGAAGGGGATGGATGGATCACACAGAGGTTAACCTGCCCACACAGCTCCCAAAGCCAGTGAAGCAGGAGCATCCAGCTACAGGTCTGAGCAGACGCCAACGGACATGATCCTGAATGAGCAGCTTGCGCTGCTTGCTGCCCCTGCTGGCCACGTGGGGAGTGAACACCATCCCCAGAGTCCTCTGCCTGCCCGCCTCCTCCACACCCAAAAGGGCTGGTCCTGGGATAAAACCAATGGCAAGCAGATGGATGCTTCCCTGGGCCACAGTCCAGAAGCCCAGCCCGCAGGGCAAATTCCTTTCCCGCTGGGCAGTCCGGACCTTCCTGTCCGCTGCCCTTGAACCCCGTGGCCACTGCACCTTCCCGGACCAGACGCCCAGGGCACATTCCCCACCCCTTCCAGGTAAGCCTCAGCAATGTGCCAGCACCTCCAAGGCCGGCCCACTGCCCTGCTGCCAGGGCTCCTCCTCTGCCCTTCCACTTCTCCCGACGGACCAGCTGCTGCACCTGCCAGCCTCAGGCCCCGCCCCCGCCTGTTGCTCCCTGAGGTCTTGGCAAGACGTAGCTGGGCTGTCCCAGGACACCGGCGGTGGCGACCGCCGGCCTGGGTGCCCAGGGCACCTCTGGCGCTTATCAGCGTCACCCATCATCCACCCAGGGTCTGCAGATTTCACCTGCTGGTGGGACACAAACAAACACAAAACGACCCCCCCTCCCCAAAAAAAAGGAAGGGAAGGAAAACAGGGAAAGAGACCCTGCTTCTGAGTCGCTACGAAGTAGCTGTTTTTGGCGTTGGCGCTGCAGTGACTCCATCTGATACATGATACACGTGATACATCTGAAACAAATCCATCCAGTGACAAAAGGCGACTTGTGGGCCGATCAGTTACAACGCCAATAAAACGCCCCCAGTGTTTCCAAGCAAGTGAACAAGGGGCACGCAGATGGACACGCGACAGGCCCGGGTCTAGGGGAAGGAGGAGGGCAGGCCCTGGAGACCTGGGTGTGATGGGGCTCCGGGGGTCCTGAGATCGGGGTTCAGAAAGCACAATGTCGGGAGGCTCCAGCTCTGGCCTCCGCAACCGGACGGTCTTCCCAGGCCTCGGGCGAGCAGAGCTCGCGCGTGGGATATTTGCGACCCCCAGCCTCTCCCTAAGCTGCTCCACTGCCGCCTCTCGCATCCCTTCCGGGCCCCGACGTGACCTTGACAAGGTCGCGGCGGCTTGTCAACCCCCAGGTACCCAGAGCGCGTAGGCGGGGCCTGGCTCTCGACCTGCCCCGGGCCGCGGCGGGCGGAATGCGGTGCAGCCAATGGGTGCGGTGCACTAGGACGCGGGGAGGGGGTATTGTGGCCCCGGGCAACCCGCGGGGCCGCCGCGGCCTGGGGAGGCGGGGCAGCGGCCCGCAACGCAGCCAATAGGATTGGCGCGCGGAGGCGCTGGGCGGGGCGTCGGCGCCTTAGCGGCTGCGCCCTGGACTCTCCGTCCTTTCGGTCCCGGCGGCCGCAGCAACGCTGAGCCAGCGGCGCCTACCCTCCGGCTTTACGCGCCTCCACTCCGTTCTGCGCTCTCTGCGCCGCCCGCTGCGCCACCATGACGGAACAGGCCATCTCCTTCGCTAAGGACTTCCTGGCCGGAGGCATCGCCGCCGCCATCTCCAAGACGGCCGTGGCCCCGATCGAGCGGGTCAAGCTGCTGCTGCAGGTGGGGCGGTGTGCGCATGCGCGGACTCGGGGAGCCGGGGATCGCGGCCGGGGGCGGGGGCGCAGCAGACCAACGTGGTCTCGTCTACCGGGGCCGGCGCGCGGGAGGGCGCCGGAAGTGCGAGGCAGCCCTGCTTTGTCCGGGCCGGAGACTTCCGGGGGCGCCTCGCGTGAGTGGCGCGCCTGCGCAGAGGAGGGGCTGTGGCGCGCACGCGTTTTCTGGGCAGGGCGGGTGACAAGTGCGCGGGGCGGCTGCGTGGACGATACCCTGTGGGTGGCTGGGCGGCGGGGCCCAGCCAGTGCCTTTTGTCCGACTTGCATTCTTCCCACACTTTTATAGTCGCCTGTGCAGCTTTCAATGTTAGTTAAGTGCGGTGCGTTGTGAAACTGTTGGAAGTGTAACTCGTTACTTGCCACTTTGTTGTTCGAAGGTCACTGGCAACGTTGTTGCGGCGGTGACGGCCCAATGTGAACTGTCAGGAGAGCTGAGGGGCCTGTGCACGACTTAGTTTACTAAGAATACCATCGGCTGGGTTATTTCTCGTCACTGGGGGAAGGCCCTCTCATGAGCTCTCTGCACCCACCCTGCAGGTGCAACATGCCAGCAAGCAGATCGCGGCCGACAAGCAGTACAAGGGCATCGTGGACTGCATCGTGCGCATCCCCAAGGAGCAGGGCATGCTGTCCTTCTGGCGGGGCAACCTGGCCAACGTCATCCGCTACTTCCCCACCCAAGCCCTCAACTTCGCCTTCAAGGATAAGTACAAGCAGATCTTCCTGGGAGGCGTGGACAAGCATACGCAGTTTTGGCGGTATTTCGCCGGCAATCTGGCTTCGGGTGGTGCCGCCGGAGCCACGTCTCTCTGCTTCGTGTACCCCCTGGATTTCGCCAGAACCCGTCTGGCAGCTGACGTGGGGAAAACGGGCACTGAGCGAGAGTTCAAAGGCCTTGGTGACTGCCTGGTGAAGATCAGCAAGTCGGATGGCATCCGGGGCCTGTATCAGGGCTTCAACGTCTCGGTCCAGGGCATTATCATCTACCGGGCCGCCTACTTCGGCATCTACGACACTGCCAAAGGTGGGTGTGTGCTGGGCTGGGTGGCTGTGACAAGGGCACTTGGTCTGAGTCCCGGAGGCTGGAGTCTGAGACCCAGGGATGGGCAGGGCCGACGACCCCCCCCCCCCATCACATGGTGGTCCCTTTGTCTGTCTGTGGCCCCATCTTCTCCTGTAAGGACCTTACTCAGACTAGATCATGGTCAACTTGCCTCATTTCACCTTCACTCATCCCTTTAACAACCTGTTTGCAAATACCATCACGGCGTTGGGGTCCTGGGGTCTGGAAGTCCACAGTGAATTTTGGGAGGACACGATTCAGTCCCTGAAAGTCAGCCGCCCGGACGGTCAGGGCTCAGGCCTGCTGGCAGTTGTTTAAGGAAACGGCCTCAGATGGGCGGCTTGTTTCCTGCCTGGACTGGAGCTGTGCTCTGGGACTGTCCCCTGTGCCTTGCAGGTGGCGTCCCCCACCCCAGGTCCCCTAGTTGAGCTTGTCCTGACCTCTCCAGCATCACCTGGTCCTGAGAGCCGCACTGGGGCTCGGGGGAGAGGGGGCGATTGATGACCGCAGCTCCGGTCTCGGGCGGTCACGGGGGGAGCTGGGGCCTGACGGTGGGGTGTGACCCCGCAGGCATGCTGCCCGACCCCAAGAACACGCACATCGTGGTGAGCTGGATGATCGCCCAGAGTGTGACGGCCGTGGCAGGGGTGGTCTCCTACCCCTTCGACACCGTGCGGAGGCGGATGATGATGCAGTCGGGGCGCAAAGGAGGTACGGGGGCTCGGTTCCGGGTGGGGAGTGAGGCTGCCCACAGCGGCCAGGGGTGGCCTTTACGCGGGGCTTGGGAGGCCTGGTCACACGGGGCCCTCCGGGAGGTCCCCCAGCTGAGCCCTCCCTGCCTGAGGCAGCCACACGTCCTGTTGGGGGCGGAGGCTGGATCTGCAGGCTTCTGCTTGGTTGCACCCCCAAAAGCAGGGCCGGTGGGGCACTGGGGGTCCCAGGCGTGTCTTCTGTGGTCAGACCCACCCTGGCCCCCACCGTGGCCCACAGGGTGGCGTCCGGGGTTCGGAGTCTGACACTCGGTTTGCTTTGTGCCTCTCTTCCTGACCACCCTGCTGCCTGCCCTCCGCCCCCCATGCGCCTGCAGCCGACATCATGTACAAGGGCACGGTGGACTGCTGGCGGAAGATCCTGAAGGACGAGGGCGGCAAGGCCTTCTTCAAGGGCGCCTGGTCCAATGTGCTGAGGGGCATGGGCGGCGCCTTTGTGCTCGTCCTGTATGACGAGCTGAAGAAGGTCCTCTAGTGCGTCCCTCGCAGGCACCTGGGGACAAGGAGCCGCACGCAGCCCTTCCCTGTTAACGGACCGTTGACCTGCAGACCATCCACCGTCCCCGCCCCACCCCGCCGGGGCACTCGGAGCGCCCAGGCAGGGCTGGGGACGCTCCCTGATTCCATGCATTGGCGGGGAGGGGGAGGGGACCCCGGCGTTCCGGGCGTGTGGGCGGGGCCCCGCACCACGCAGGCGGAGAGCTGGGGCCCCCGCGTGCTCCTGGGACCAGGGCTGGGCTTCGTTTTATTTAAAGGAAATCATGTCGCCCATCTGTACCTAAGCACTCTTCGTTTTTTGCACAGCCGAGCATCTGCGATGACGTCCAATGTTGGGCATTGCTGCAAAGAATTAAAACCAGACACAGAACTAGCTTGAGTGCTGTCCTTCTGGGCCAGGGGTCAGGCAGGGGTTGCCCTCCGAAGCTGCCCTTGGGTGGTGAGGAGGACCCAGTGAAGGTGGGAGAAGCCTGTGGCCACTGGGTGCCCCTGCTCAGGAAATCCCTCCAGAAACAGGCCCTGCCTGCCTCGGGTTCCTCCCGTGAGCCCCACATCCCTCCCCTCCAGTGGGTTCCTACCTGGGAACCCTGTTTGGCATCCTTCTGCACACCACGCCCACACCTGCCCTGGGTTGGCCCAAGGCCATGCAGCAGAGTGAGTGCAGGTATACCAGCGCCAGCCGGTCGTGACCTTGTGCAGTGAAGCAGCCTGCTGGGGCCGGAGACCTTGGCAGGTGCCGGAGACCTTGGCAGGTGCCAGCCCCAAGGTCAAGTGCCTCCTGCAGGCCAAAGGGACCAGACCCTGGGGTCCTGCCAGCTCAGCAGCAGAACTGGCTCTGGCCCACTCAGGCCTTGCCTTGGTGCTGGACACGTTAGGGCTCTGGGTCCCTGCCTTGTGTCCGCCTCGCCTGCCTCTGTGGCAGTGGCTGGATTCTGGATGGGCGCTCTCTCCAGCCCGCCGCCTTCATTCCCACCTGGTGGACACCGGGCCAGTCCGTGAGTCAGGGCCTGTGGTGACCCGTTCCCGAGTTGAGGTCAGATCTGCCCTTGGCGCCCCAGGGCACTCTGTTCCGAGACTTCAAGGAGTCATTTTCTGGAAGCCAACACCGTGGGCATCTGCCCCCCGTGCCCTTGAAAGGTGAGGCATGTGAGTGAACAGGGTTAAAGACCGGCAGTGCCTTCCTGAGCACCTGACCAGGGAACCCCGCGTCAGGCAGGCCCTGCAGGCCTGTTGTGGTTTGCAGCTGTGTGTCCAGGGAGGGCTCTGTCAGCAGCGGGGTTCGCCCAGGGTCCCCTGCCGTCCAGATGCCGCCCTTGGGACCCCACACCAGGTATGTGAGCTCCTTTATCACGTGAGCCAAGGTGATGCCGCCAGAACGCAGGTACGGAGAAGACCTCAAGTGCACAGGGCGCACCCCTTGACTCGGGAAGGAGCGAGGGGTGACCGGGACCTCTGGAGGCCAGCAGCTTTCTGGCGGCCTTGGGGTGCGGGGCTGGGCCAGTGAGCCGAGAGAACACTGGGTTGGAGAAAAGTACTTTATTCAGGCTTCTCCGCCCCCTGCTCCCCACCCGCCCGGGACAAATGTCTGCTGCCCACAGGCCACCAGGCCGAGTGGGGACCTGGCCAGGCCGAGAGCCGGTCCAGCCTCACGTGCCCTCCACAAGCTGCACCTCGGCCACAGGACAGTCCTCTGGGGGGGGCAGGCTGGGCTGCCAGACCATCTGCGGGGACAGGCAGGACCGCGTGGGTCACGTGGCCCCCAGCTGGGTAGCAAATGCACCCTGGGCGGCGGCAGGGGCCCAACCCACCCAGATTAGGTGTGCGGCTGCCCGCCCTGCCCCCCCTGCAGGCATCCCTGCGGGGGCTGTGGCCACCTGGTCCCCGGACCCACCCGCCAAAGCCGGGACATACCATGTTCTCGTCGTGCACACGCTTGTCCCCAGTGGGGTCCTTCATGTGAGGGATGGGAGGAAAGAGCTTCTGCAGCACCGAGTACCTGTGAGAGAGCCCCCTGAGCCGCAGCGGTGGTGCCCGGGGCCTCACTGGTGCCTGTCAGGGTCGGAGGGGGGGCATGGGGACCCACCTTCCCTACCCTGCCTGGCGGAGCACGCCAGTCCCAGCTGGGACCTACATCTTCACAAAGGCCAGCCGCCAGGGGGCATCTCACCGCGGCAACCTCCCCCTTGAACAGCTTCCGCAGGAAGCTGGGGCATTGACTGCCCGCTCTTCCAAACCAGCCTCTCCTGAGGCTGGGGCAGGGGGTGAAACCGAGAGGGACCCCCACTGGGCAGAGCACTCTGCACTCCGAAGGGACCCCGTGCCCGGGAACCGTGGGCAGCGCAGTAACGCCGCCACTGGCCTGCCTGCAGGGTGGGGGAGGGGACCCAGGATCAGGTCTGAAGGGCGTCACGGGTTGGGGCGTCTGCAAGGTTTAAAGGAGCAGGGTTTGGGGGGCGTCTGGCTGCAGCCCGCGTCCCCCCGGGCACGTGTAAAGGGTCCGGGGAAGGAAGGGACCTGAAGGACGCTGCACTGGGTACCAGCTCCCCGTGGCCAGCCGAAACCAGGCCCACGTTTCAGAAAGACTGGTAGGGGCGTCTGCAGAGCCTGGTCTCCGGGGACAGGCCGGCGCGCACGCGCCCGGGGCGGGGAGTGAGTGAACGCGGAGAGAGGGAAGCGCTCTGAGCATCGTGTTCCAGAAAGACGCGCGCGTCTCACTTTTTGCACAGAAGAATCGCGGCCCCCACCACCAGCAGCGCGGTCAGTGCGATCAGCCAGACGTACAGGCGCCCTTCGTCCTCCTGGTCACACACTGGGGAGCAGATGGGGGTGCTTCGGGAAGGCGCCGGCGGTTCCCCGGGGACCCCCGAGAGGTGGCTGGCACACGCAGCGTGCACAGTTGGGACAGCGGCGCCTGCGCGCCAGGGTCCACACGAATCCCTCCAACCCCATGCGACCCTCCCCTGCAGACGGATGCCCCCACTACCAAGGGACACCTGGGACTGGGACCATCGCTCTCTACCCTGGGCCACTGCAGGGACCCTGTGCGGCGCCAGGGTGTTTTTCAAAGACCTGATACTTCGTTCTGATACCTCAGCCGGCCCGTGGGAGGAGCCAGCCAGGGCCAGAGGGGCGGGAACACAGGCGGGGGTGGGGTGAGGGGCGGCCTTGGGGACGCAAGAACACGCTGCAGGGGAACTGCCACCTTTGTCCCTCCCTCCCGTGCTCTCCCCCCCACCCCAGTCCTTCGGTTTGATACTGTGCCCACCGTGAACTTCCCACATCCATTCTGATTATTTCAAGACAGTTCGCTGTGAAAGACTTATGTTGATGACTGAGACTTTTGGAGACAGCAAGCTGGTTGCCCCCAAGCGGGACAGACAGCAGAGCTTGGGCAGACGGGGGACCTGGGGTTCGGGGAGACCGAGTCCAGCAAGGGGACGCAGCTCAGGGCGGGCAAGGACCAGAGCAGGGCTCAGCGCCAGCAGGAGGGAAGCTGTACCCAGGTTTGAAGGCACCTGCAGCTGGGGGTGAGGCCAGCTTCTCGTCCCCGAAGCCTGGACGCAGCCCCAGAGGGAGGATGGAGAGGAGGCAAAGGGGCCCTGCGTTTCCACCCGCCCCTGCTGGCCCAGCATCCCCCGGACACAGACCAGCTGGCCATGCAGGTCCGTCCACACGCAGCTCTCGGTGGGTCTCTCGGGAACGGGTCTCTCTAAGGAGTAGGTTTGGGTGGGGGTGCTGCACCCCAGGTTGGCGAGGCTCCCCAGAGCCAGGAGACCTCCAGGGACCCCTGGGCCACGAGCCACACAGGTTGCAAGTAACGCAGGGATGGCCCGGAGCCGGGACGCCGCAGGGTGGCCTGGGACAGACCCACACGCAGGGTGCGGAAGGAGCTGATCTGGGGTGTTCAGCCTCCGGGGCTGGGGCACAGCCAGCACTTGTCGTCTGAGCCACCTGGTGTGTGGCAGTCCGTCCCCGCAGCCCTAGGGAGCCGGGTCGGGGCTTGTGCTGGCGGATTTTATCACTTAGCTGAGCCACAGGGGGGACACCTTGGGTCACACAGTGGCCTAGGTGTCACCGGGAAGGTTGTTTTTTGTTGTTGTTTTTCAAATCCTCACCCGAGGACATGTTTAGTGATGTTCTTGGCAAGAGAAGAAGGGAGGGACAGAGAAACGTTGATGAGAGACAGTGAGGGTGGTTTCCCGTGGCGCCCCGATTGGGCTTGAATGTGCAACCTGGGTGTGTGCCTTGACCAGGACTTGAACCCACAACCTTCTGGTGTAGGGAAACGACACTCCAACCCGCTGGGCCACGAGGCCAGGGCGGGGTGAGGAGGGTAGCTTTGAAAGGTGAGATGACTATGAGCATCAGTACATGTGGTGTAGAGCAGATTGCCCTCCCAACTGGGGGTGGGCCTGGTCTCATCAGGTGCTGGTCTGAAGAGACACCTTTCCTGCCATGCCACCTGCAAAATGGGACAATCCCGGGGCGCAGCAAGCGGGTATGGTTCCAGAACAGGTCAGGGAGATGTGCCTCTCCCTGGGTGCGTCTGTGTCATCAGGGCAATGCCACTGTCCCCAGTGACTTTGGGTAGCAAGCAAGGGCCCTGTTGCTGAGGACAGCTGTTACACCACGGCTCCCATGGCTCTTTGCGGGACAGTCTCCACCCTCTGCCTTCCCATGGGGTGGTCACCTGTTGTCCTGAGGGCCCCTCCTGTGTGGGGACACAGAGCAGGGGGGCCGACACCCACCGGCTTTCGTAGCAGACATTCCGGGGAGGTTTCATGGGCTCCCAGCTCCCTGGAGGAGGGCCAGCACCCGAAACCCTCACTGCTCACGGGGGGGGGGGGGCGCCTCACTCACCGAAGCGCTGGCGGGCGCTCCACTGGCCGCCGTGGGCTCGGATGGTCACCGTGAAGGTCCCGGGGTTGGGCAGGACCCAGTACTTTTGGGAGAGGTTCTGTCGATGGAAGGAAAGTGAACAAGACGGGACCATCGTCATCTGTGGGGAGGGCGGCGGGTGGCCCTTCCAGAGGTGCTGAGGGTTCTCCCCAACTTGCTGTGCCTGGAAAGGGGGGGGGGGCCCTGCAGCCCCCTTCCTGCGTCTGCCCAGGCTCTTGTTGTCCACACCAAAATGTTCTTTACGGTCTGTGGGAGGTAAGTAAATAAGACCCAGCCACCGCCAGGCAGGCCCAGAACAGGGGGGCCATCCAAGGGGGGTGGCGTGGTGGGCCCGCAGAGGGTTCGCTGCTGCACCCCACCCACACCGAGAAAGATGCGCCTGCTCAAACAGGTGAGTGGGGCCTTATTCGGAAGCAGGGCACCATCGGATTGGCCGCCTGCAGCTCACGGTTTGGTGCCCCCCCCATTCAGTGCCTGGCCTGAGGAATTCAGGGGCGACTGCGGCCCTGTGTGGGCAGCACCAGGCAGCTCCGCCTCAGACACCAGGGTCCTCTTTCCTCCATGGGGCCACCGCCCTAAGGGGGCGCGACCCACAGGGGAGAGAGTCCTTCCCACAGGCGGCTACATTTTGCGATGCCCCAGGCAGGAGGGCTGGGGACCTGGGGACACGGGGTCACTCACGTTCTGCATGATGGGAGCGCCCGAGTCCTGTAAGACACAAGCGAACGCCCGTGAGTGTCCAGCCCGGCCCCGGCGGAGGGTCTGGCTCGCTCAGGTTGCCGGAAACGCGGAGCACAGAGCGATCACTAACAGACAGTCGATAACAGCGTATGTCAACCAGTGCACAGACGTCCCGAAGGGATGCTTCGGTGGAAACTGACCAGTAGTGGAGGATGCGTAGTAAAACCAACTGACTTAAAATAATAAATTGGGTTTGAGGTAGTGTTCAGGGCACGTGCCTGGGTTGTGGGCCAGGTCCCCAGTAGGGGGCGCACGCGAGGTAACCACACATGGATGTTTCTCTCCTTCTTTCTCCCTCCCTTCCCCTCTGTCTAAAAGTAAATAAAATCTTTCAACAAAGAATAAACTCAAACAGATAACTGAGTACGACACGGTCAGTGGAGAAGAAATACAAATATAACACGTACGTGAAAATAACAAATGCCAGGGGATCACTGAGTACAAAATGAGCACCGGCGGAGCGCCAGTAATTCTATACGTAAATCAATATATAGACATCCTCAACACATGCTCGGGTGTGCAGGGACGTCCTGGCGCTCCCCAAACCCGATCCCCTTCACAGGCACACACACCAGGACCCTTCCGTCATAGAACTTGCCTTTTCCGGTCATCTCTGTGCCGTGTGAATGGCCAACATCCCTTTTGTTTGGGCAGAAGCGAAATCGTTTTGGGGCTCCTTTCCTTGGTGTGTGTGTGTGTGTGTGTGTGTGTGAGATGAACCCTGACCTGAAGCCCCCGGGTCACGCCAGGACAGCGGGAACTCGCCCGGGTGAGCGTGCGTTTACCTCTTCTATTCTAAGTTCATAGTCAAACGTTTTTGTGAAGTGGCTGGACATTCGCCACTGCAAGACAGCAAGAGACTTGTTGCAGTCTGCAGTCAGGTTGGGTGCGGTGAATTCCTCTGTGGCAGGAAAGGAAGAAAAGACAGACTGGGTGAAAGACGTCAAAATATTTCCCCGGGAGACGCTCTGACACAGGCGTCCTGCAGATTCGGGGGTGGGGAGGGTGGACAGAAAACACCCCGAAGGGGGAACATGTGAACGGACGGGGAGCAGAAGCGTGTTGGGACTGTGAAGTTCCCTCGCTCAGCCTGCCCCGCCCCTTTGTCCCCTCACGGGGACCCCCGTGTGGGCTCCTGCCCGCGTCAGCGCTTCCCCCGCAGCTGCTGCGATGGATCTCGGATCAACCGCCTCTCTCTCACGTGGAAAGGTCCTCTCACTGCCAGGCGGGCGGGAACGTCCCGGACCCCCACTCACCGATCTCGGAAAGAGACTTGACGATCTCAGAGCAGGGTACGCGGGAGTGCCTGCTGCGGCCCTGCACCAGCAGACGGAACAGAAGGTTCTGCTCTTCGTCGTTGGGAAGCTCGGAGACGTTAGCAAACTGACACTGGACGTGGGTGTCCAGCTCTTTTTTGGTGTAACGTGGGCATGGCCACGTTGTGCTGTTACTGCAGGACATTGGGAGTGGTGAGGAAGGACCCAGGGCCCCCCCAGGCCCCTCGTACCCAGGACACCCCAGCCGTTCCGCAGGGCGCACCTACCTGAGCTCCTCTAAGTAGAAGTCATATTGGACGTCCCGGGGGGCTTCGGGGCCCACCGCCCAGCTGCACGTCAGGAAATGCAAATCATGAACCCGACATTGCAGGTGCTCCGCGGCCGCCCTGGGGTTCCCTTCTGGGCTCGCAGAGAAGATAAGCAAACAAACAAACAAAACCAGAAAACAATGCCAAGTCCATTTAGAGTAATGTCACGATTTTGAGATGCTGGGAAACCGCCAAGAGCTGGGAGGAATGATACAGAGACATTCTGTGTAGGTTCCCAGCAGAGACGCAGCCAGACGATAAGACGATCTCTCAACTGGGGACCCCCCACATGGCCGCTTTCGAATGTCCCCTTATTCCCACCAGCGCCCACCCCTGCCCACCGGCAACCCCCTTTTCCATGGCCACCGTTTTGCCCGAACGAGAATGTCACTTTCGACCTCTGGCCAACACTGTGCCTCCTCGCACAACCAAAATGAAGAGCAACAGAGACTTAGAAACAAAAGCACAACCAGAACAGACAGAAAATTGAACTGTCTGGAAGTCCGACAACCATTCAATCAGACCAGTTAGAGGGGTGGAGTTGGCGTCCGCGGACAGGGGTTGCGGCAGGAAGAGGTGGTGGCTGCCAGACCTGGGAGCACAGGCGGAGTGGGGCTGAGCACAGTCACACGTTTGTACACAGATAAACCAGGCAAAAACGGGCAGCGAGACAGACCACGCAACCCAGGGCCCCAGCGATGGGAAATCAAGCCTAAAAGCACTGATTGAAAAGGTGCCGGCTTGTGGGAATCGGCAGAGGGGACTGAAATCCGAGAGAGCGGGGAACTAGTGCCATTGCTCCCTCTCTGACCCGGCCCCCACACACAGGGTCACAGCTCAGCAACTGGGTTGCCCCGCCCTGGTGAACCCCTAAGGCTCCGCTCCTCATACATAACAGGTGCAAACAAGACAAAAACAAAAAAGGCCCAAAGGGAAGAACAGATCAAAGCTCCACAGCAAATACAACTAAGCGATGGAGACATAGCCAACCTATCAGATGCACAGTTCAAAGCACTGGTGATCGGGATGCTCACAGAACTGGTTGAATTTGGTCACAAATTAGATAAAAAAGTGAAGGCTATGCTAAGTGAAATGAAGGAAAATGCACAGGAGCCAATAGTGATGGAAAGAAAACTGGGGCTCAAATCAGGGGAGTGGACCAGAAGGAAGAAAAAAATAACCAAAAAGAAAAGAATGAAGAAACAAGAATTCAAAGAAATGAGGAGAGGCTTAGGAACCTCCAGGACATCTTTAAACGTTCCAACATCCGAATTACAGGGGTACCAGAAGGGGAAGAGGATCAGCCACAAGTGGAAAACTTACTTGAACAAATCATAAAGGAAAACTTCCCCAATCTGGCAAAGGAAATAGACTTCCAGGAAATCCAGGAAGCTCAGAGAGTCCCAAAGAAGTTGGACCCAAGAAGGAACACACCAAGGCACATCATCATTACATTAGCCAAGATTCAAATGAAGGAGAGAATCCTAGAAGCAGCAAGAGATAAGGGGACAGTCACCTACAAAGGAGTCCCCATCAGACTGTCAGCGGATTTCTCAAAAGAGACCTTACAGGCAAGAAGGGGCTGGAAAGAAATATTCCAAGTCATGAAATCCAAAGACCTACAACCAAGATTGCTCTATCCAGCAAAGCTTTCCTTTAGAATGGAAGGACAGATAAAGTGCTTCTCAGATAAGGTCAAGTTCAAGGAGTTCATCATCACCAAGCCCTTATTATATGAAATGTTAAAGGGACTTACCTAAGAAAAAGAAGATAAAAAAGATGAACAGTGAAAGGACAGCAAACTCACAGTTATTAACAACCACACCTAAAACAAAAGCAAACTAAGAGGACAGCTAGATCAGGAGTGGAGCCACAGAAATGGAGATCACATGGAGGGTTAGCAACTGGGGAGTGGGAGGAGGAGAAGGGGGGAGAAGGTACAGAAAATAAGTAGCATAGACAGTAGATAGAAAATAGATGGGAGGGCAAGAATAGTATGGGAAATATAGAATCTAAAGACCTTGTGACACATGGTCATAAACTAAAGGGGGGAATGTGGGTGGGAAGGGGTGTGCAGGGTGGAGGGGAATGAAGGGGGGGAAATAGGACCCCCTGATTTTATTTTAGTAATAGCATAATCAATAAAGTACATTAAAAAAAGAGAATGTCGCTTTCTTTCTTTCCCCGCTCTCCCCAGCCTCGATCCCTGGAGATCCGTCCAAGGTCAAAGGGCTGATTTCGACACTCCACGGAGCAAGTCCTGGTCGAAGGCAAAAGAGAACGGAAACAGAACAGCCTGTGCTCACCTTGCCTGGGGTAGTTGATCCACGCGGAAAACTGCTTCCCGCCGGGCACGGTGGCGTGAACTGTGTAGTTTGACGCCTCACATTTGGGAAATGCGTGCAGTAAGCAATAACGATTGTTTTTCACCTAAGACAGAAGTAGGGATGTATTGTTTAGAGAACATACTGAGTGTGATACTGAGGATACTTAGATTTCCTAAAAATACTTTATTTATTTATTTTTAGAGAGCCAGGAAGGGAGGGAGAAAGAGAGGGAGAGAGACATTAATGTGTGGTTGCCTCTTGCGCGCCCCCTACTGGGGACCTGGTCAGCAATGCATGCTCATGCCCTGACTGGGAATCGAACCAGCAACTCTTTGGTTCTCAGGCTGGCGCTCAATCCACTGAGCCACACCAGCCAGGGCAATATTCAGATTTTTTATGAAAACTGCAAAGCTCTTCCCAATTTAATCTACAGGCTCAATTCCATCCCAGTTGCATGCTGGGAAGATGAGGGGTGCATGCAGACAGAGGGAAACTGCGAATTCCTAGGGCTTGCTGGGGCTTCGGGAAGAGCGAAAGGGAATAGTCATGATGCAGAATTTCTTTTTTTTTTTTTAAACGGGAGAGAAAACACTTTGTGAGATCCACGCCACCACACATTTGTGCAAATCTGTAGAACGCACGACACCAGCAGTGACCTTCGGTGGAAACCGTGCACTGTGGGTAACCGGTGTGAGTTCATCGCCGTAAGAAAGGTCCCCTGTGCTGGGGGCGCCAGTCGGCAACTGGGGAGGCCGGGCCGAGGAGCCAGGGGTTACACGGGAACCCTCTGAATCGGAGATCACAGGAAAACATAACAGATCGCAGTCATGAGGTGTTCCTACTTGGTACCGACATGCAGAAAAAAAAATCACAGGAAGACGTCCGACTTTCTGAGATCTTGCCGGCTTAGATTATAAATACACACATTCACTCTTGTTTCATCCGGTAACGCCTGCAGCTGCTACCCACGTATGGAGAAGAGCGTTGAGGCCGGCAAAGTGTGGGAGAGGCAGCTGTTTCCCCTCCTGCTTTCCTGGGGCCACCTGTCAGCCCAAGTACTGTGCCCGTCATGCCCTGAGTTTGTGCCAAACAGGGACGCGGAGATCTCGTCAGCAAGTCCTCTTGCCTGTAGGTCCCAGCGTGCAGGCAGCTGAGTGTGTCCATGAAGGACACCAGAAGTGTCTTTTGTGGCAAATCGGATCGGCCCCAGAGGAGAGAGAGCCCCAGTGATGCTAATACCAGCATCCTTCCCTAGTCGCTCCCTTAGAGACCCTGTGCGGGAAGCCCCCGGACCTCACACCTACCCATCTGCTCTCCCTCCCCTTAATTAGATCTTTAGTCCCCGACTCTTAAATGTGAGCAGACCACCAGAGGCTGACAGAAGTCTGGTAAAATCCCGTAACAACAGGACAGAAACTAGAACAAATGAAGGAGAACGAAGCGTAAAAGGGGCTTAGAGAGCAACCAGGGAGAAAAGGACCTAAAAGTAAATGAGCAGCGATATTCTGAGGGCAGAGAGAGGAGGTACCCCAATGACCAAACCAGCCGAGGACCCTGGCGTGGAGGTCGCCTCTCTGCGCAGCCAGAGGCGGGCGCAGCCGTCACAGAAAAACTCGGGAATGTGCAGCGAGACCCGTTGGGGGAGGCCGGTTTACCGTTCCGGATAAAGCCCCATTGACGTAGCACTTGATGCTGGAAACATTTCCACTGAGGTCCCAGGCCAGCCTCCGATTTCCTGGCTCCATCCGTAAGTTCGTGATGGGCGGGCTGAGGTCTGCAAGGAGAGCAAGTGCCGTCAGAGGAGATACAGGTGCTGAAGCACCTCCGGGGGGGGGGGAGGGGCGGGGGCGACTTTGTTCTCCCTTCGAAGCAGCCGACACGACGCCCCGGCCGTGGCTTTCTGCGTAAGGGAGGGATTGCCAGAGCTGGCAGAGGTCACAAGCAATAGTGTCTTACTCCCCTTATGAGCTGACCCCCCATCCCCCCTTAACGGGGGGGGGGGAGAACATTCAGGGTGGAAGATCACTTCTGCCTTCCCGGTGTACAAAGAAAGAACTGCCCCCCCCAGAAAAACCCTCAGAATTACCATCTGGAGGACAGGTCCCTTATAGGACAGGCTCCCCCGACTAGGTGAGTGTTCTCCGAACCCACCTGTGTCCGTGTGCCAGCTGGTGTTGTTGTGAGAGGCTGCATTCAGCGTCACTGAATTTTTTTTTTTTTGAAGACTGTTTCAAGGCGCTTCTCCATTTCATGATGGGTGATCGACGCCTGCTCACACCGTGCTGAGTGTTCAGCAGTGTTTAACCCAGACGGGTGTGACCCCAGTGCCCCAGCCTCCCCCTTCACCCGATTGCACCCTGAGCGACTTCTTGTTTCACGTTCCCCGGGCGAAAAAAGTCCCCCACGGGGAACCGTTTGTCGATGTGGAAGAAGTGAAAGTAAAAAACAGCAGAAGCACTGAAAAGGCATCAACATCGACCCATGCGAACACCGTTTTGCAGCGTGAAACAAATGTCTGGAAAGGTGTGTTGCATCCAGTGGAAAGTCCTTCGAAAGGACTGGAGTATAGACGGAGTATAGATGGAGAAAAATAAATGCGCGATATGTTGTAAATAAATTCTGGTTTTGGGGGGGACCCTCTTGCAGATGAAATGGGCCTTTCATAACCGGGTACCTCCTAGGATGTTATTTGCACTGAGAAATGACAATAAATTCTGGTGTAGATATTTAGCTCAAACTCTCTCACACGGAATATACTTTCAGAATGCTTTGCAATAGAATAGTTATTTTTTTTGCTCTACGCCCTAAAATATGAGGCATGATAATTACTCAGCGATATTCACCTTGTTATAGAATTCCCAAACGGACCAATGCCTCTTATTATTGGAACGCCCCTCAGAGCACCGTAAATACAGCTCAAATTAAAGTAGTAGAAGCAATTATTTCTCACACTGCCATCATATAAAACCTGAACTACCTGTTGGTGCATTAAAAACAGTTCAGCTCGTTTGCAGCCTATTTTCTCGCTGTAACAGGATCACATTCAAGATCAATTTTAAACATTGGGAAAACGCCTAACATTGGTAAATACAACAACACACTTCTAAGCACCACATGGGTCATCAAAGAAAAAAAATCTCAAGAAAATCGAGAACACGTCTCAAACTCAATAAAAATAAAATTAAACAATGTGGTAGGCAGCTACCACAGGACTTAGAAGGACATTCATAATTTAAAAATTTTTTATGTTAGACAAGAAAGGTTTAAATTCAATGACCTGAGAAGTGCAAGAAAGAAGAGCAATCTAAAGTTAAGAATAATTTTTTTTATTTTAAAATTTTATTATGTAGGAAAACCGAATCCCTAAAATAACATATATATTATAAAAGTCAATTGAAAGGGAACCGGGACATGGGTACAGAGAGTTAAAAAAAAAAAAAAAAAACCCACCCAAAAACCCAAAAGCTGGGTGTGTGTAATGATTCATGTAATTGATAGCCGTTGGCTTAGAATGATCCAGAAAGAAAAATAGAGGCAGAAAACGACCAAATTTATGAAGGAAAGTGGGGAAAACGGGACCTATTTCTCAGGTGGGTACCAGACTTTGTGGATGATGATGTTGCGAGTTATATAATCACCACGGTGTAAGCCTGAAATTAATATACTGATACACGGCCACTGCGATTGACAAATAAAAGAAATTTCACCCTGGCTGGTGTGGCTCAGTGGCCTGAGTGTTGGCCCGAGAACCAAAGGGTCACCGGTTCAATTCCCAGTCAGGGCAGGTGCCCGATTTGTGGGCCAGTTCCCAGCAGGGAACACACGAGAGGCAACCACACATGCGGGTTTCTCTTCTTCTTTTTCTCCCCCACTTCCCATATCTCTTAACGTAAGTAAACACAATCTTTAAAAAGAAAAGAAACGTAAAAGAAATTGGAACCCAGTCACGTCAATATAGTCAATAATATGTAACCTAAACAAACTCCACGAAAGACAGAAATGAACACTGTTAGAAAGAGAAACCCTGACCAGCTGGATACTTTATTCATCCCGTAGAGCCGCTGCCACAAATGTATCGAGGAGAAAAGAGTACAGTTTCTAACACAAATCCTCCCACATGGAAGGAAGCCTTGTGTGTGTGTGGGGGGGGGGCACTTTCTGCTTATCAGGGAAGAAATGGTATCAATGTGCCCCAACTTTTGAGAAAGAAAAAGGGGCCAGTGACGGTTTCCTGACGGATTTGATGAAGCCAGCGTGACGCTGATGCCGAATCCGAGACGTTCAAGTTAAAGGAGAGGCCAATATTCCTCATAAACACAGACACACCATTCCTTCCCAAGAGAATTCCGAAGAAAATCCAGCAACACATTCAACGGATAATACCTCCCGACTCGAGAGAGTTACTTACTCCAGGTACGTCAGGGTGTTTTAACCATCGATATCATTTGTCTTATTTAAAAAAAAAACAACAACAGATTATCTTCTCAATAGAAGCAGAAAGAAAATGAACACACCCATTTGGGATTTATAAAAATAGTTCACAGCCATGGGGCTTAAATACTCAGCCAACTAGTGGTGTAACTCAGTGGATTGAGCGCAGGCCTGTGAACCAAAGGATTGCGGTTCAATTCCCAGTCGGGGCACATTGCCCGGGTTGTGGGCCAGTTCCCGGCGGGAGACACATGAGAGGCAACCATACATTGATGTTTCTCTCCCTCTCTCCTTCCATTCCCCTCTAAAGATAAATAAATAAAATCTTAAAAAAAAAAAAAAAACCTCAGCCAACTAGGAAACAAACAGAAAATAATCATTAACACCCATTTGGGACTAGAAAAAAAATAAATCACACCATTTGGGCTTAAAAACTCAGCAAACTGGAAATAAAAGGCAGAGTTCTGACCCTGAGTTTTTTTTTCAAATATGGAAACACAGAAGCTAATTCAGACTCAATAGTGAGTGACTAACCACGCGGCCTCCCAGTGATGGAGGCCGGGCATCTGGTGGTGACTCTTCTATTGCACTATGTCCTGTGTCCGCAGCCCCTCAGGTGCAACCGAACGAGGTGGGTGCTTTAGGGTCTTTGGCAGGGTGTTGTTACAATGTTGGAGCGTGTTGCCTACAACCTTTAGGCTTTAGTCAATTTCTCCTAGAAAGAGACTCACTTCCTCCTTGTGGTCAGTGATGCTGGAACGCCCATGGCCCTGCAGAGACTGCCAACGCGGCCACTGCTACTGACCCAGTGGGGACCCAGAGAGGGGCCCTCAGAAAGCCAGGATGTGGGGAGGGAGGGTCTCAGAACTGCAGGGCCCCTTCCCTGCCAGACAGGCCCCTGCTTCTGTGCATCTCTCAGGTCCCTGGCTGCAGCCCCGGGAGAATGTGCTGGCCAGTGAAATAGGGCAGAAGCGATGTGGAGCACCTGACCCAAAAAGTCCTCGGTGGAACCTACAAACTCCCGCACGTACGGGAGGGGCGCCCAGGAAGCATTCTGGGTCACCAAGTGATTCCTGCAACCCGGGAACGAGACCTTGTATGGCAACAGGGCCTTTGCAGGTGGGACGAGGGAAGGATCTGGGAGGAGGTCGTCCTGGGTCAGGGTGGCCCTGCGTCCAGTGACAGTGTCCTGAGAAGGGACAGAAGAGGAGACGCAGACTCGGAGGAGGAGCCACGTGGAGACAGAGACAGAGATGGGAGGGACGTGGCCACCAGCCCAGGGACTCCTGGACCTCAGACGTCTGGTCTCCAGAACAAGGGGGGGGGAGTGGATGGTGGGTGAACGTCTGTTGTTTGTGGCACTCGGTTGGAGCAGCTCGATGGACGGAATGTGTGTTCTCCCCACTCACGTGCCGAAGCCCCGACTCCCAGGGTGTTGGGAGGGGCTTTGCCAGGGGGCGGGGATTACACACGGCCAGGACGGTGGGTCCCCAGGATGGGATTTGTGTCCCCATGAGGAGGAAAGACCACACCCCACCGAAAGGGGGTCTCACGAGGGACCAGCCACCAGCTCTCTGCGGGTGGACTTCCAATCTCCAGAACCGTCAGAAATAACCGTGTTAATGGAAAACTGCCATTAGCCCCGGCAGACCAAGGCGGCGCCCCAAACAGACATCCCAGCCCCCCACTCAGCACCCCACACCTGCCCCCACGCCCCTTTGGGGAAGGAGGGCCCTGGGCAAGGGTTACGAAATCTGGTGGCCGGGACCGCAGCCCCTGCCGTCTTGGGTGAGGCAACCGCCCAGAGCAGCTGGGCACAGGCCTTGGAGGTTTAAAAATATCTCCTGTGTGCCAACATGTCCCTGAGTGTGGAGAAAAATAATACAAATGGAGCCCCTTTAAAATGGAGGTGCCGGCCCTGAGGAGCGGCCTTGCAGGTCATGTGCTTCTACCCTGTGGGCGTTGACACAGGACAAAGTGACCTGTGCACGGGGCCGAGAGCCCCCCTGTGTCCCACAGAGCTGTGTGCCAAGGGGACAGGAAAGCCAGTGACCACTGGACAGATGAGCCCAGGACTGAGCATGAAACTCGCTGTGGAGAAGCAGCGTCACGATGCCGTGTCAGCTGTGCCCACAGCCACGCCTCCCTGCTGTGGGTGTCCCTGTCCCCTCCCCTCTCTCATAGGTGCCACCCCTGTGTCTGCTCCTCCTGGGGACCCTGCGTGGGCTCCTGCCTGAGTCAGCGCTTCCCCAGTAGCTGTTCTCATGGATCGCAGGTAAGTAAGTGCAGTTGACGCTCACTTGGAAAGGCCCTTGATTTCTGGGTGGACAGAAGGACAGCGGACACACTGCCACAATGCCCAGCAAGCTGGAAGGACTGTGCCTTGGCAGCCTAGCAGGAGCCGCCTGCCCTGTGTCACTGTGGGCACCGCTGTGGCCTCCGTCCTTCGCCATGGGGAGAACACCTCCAGGGGACCGCTGCTCTGGCAGCCCGGGACCCTGTCGCCCCCAAACACGGTAGTTTTAGGGAGGGAGGATGAGGACCCCAGGCGTGGAGGCTGAGTGCCAAAGCACGGGTGTTTTTGCAGTAAGTAACCCGGAAAATGCTCACAGTGGACTCTGAGAGCCACAGCCAAGCCCCAGCACGCGGGGCTCCAGGTCCTGGCCTGCGGTTCGTGCTCGCTCTGCAGGGCGGTCCCACTGTGAGCACCACCAGTCTCACTAAGAGCAGGACGCAGCGGCCGGCCAGTGCCCCGTGAGCGGTGCGCCTACCTTGGTCCGTGGGCGGCACGCAGCAGACGGGCGTCAGCAGCAGGAGGAGCCGCAGCAAGGCCATGGGGCGGACAGGCGGGCCCCCTGCGGGGCGCAGGAGCTGGGAGGGAACACAGACCCCCGTGTGGGCGTGGCTTCAGGGACTGAGGAGGGCGGCGGGGAGGAGGGGGCCATGGGAGCCCCCTTGGGATCCGCGTGGTGGCAGAGCAGGCACCTGGGGGCAGGAGGAAGGCGCTGGGGCCTGTGCTGGCACGTGGGCACGTGCACAGGTGGGCGTGTGCCTGTGTGTACACGGCGGTGAGCACGTCTGTGTTCACGTGTCTCCATTCTCCATGCGTGTGCCCGCGCATGTGCGTTCCTGTGTGTCCACGGCTGCACGTGCGCACGCCAGTGTCTGCATGTGGCCACACACTGTGTACGCATAGGTGTGCATGCCTGCATATCAGTGTGCGTGCCGTGCGTGTGCGCACACGTCTGCCTGTGCGCCCTTTGTGCGTGCACGCCTGTGTGTACGTGCGTGTAGGTCAGTGTGCCTTTAAGGAGCGCCCGCCCTGGGCTCTCCGAGGCCCCTTGGCTCCCGGCCCGCCCAGATCCCGGAGACCAGAGCGCCGCCAGGAAAAGCCCCGCGAAGCGCCTCGGTGGTGGAAGGAAGTGTCATTAAAACGGAGCAATCTCGGAAGGGGCTGCTTCGGGCGGACTTCCGAAGGGGCCCAGTTACGAACAGGGAGCCCTGGGCTGCCCAGAAGTCCCCGCCGGGACTTTGTTCTGGACCCTCGCCCGGTGGGCCCACGTGTTCGTGTCCCCTGAGGACCTCTCATTGCCTGTACGACCACCCTCATCCAAGACGGCCTCCTCTCACACGCTCCTGAGGCGCCCCCACTGCCCACCGCCGGCGCTGACGCATCTCTCGGAAACATCGTCAAGGCCCAAGGGGCGCCTCCATGCCTCGTTCGTGGGGGCGTCTGGGGACACAGGTCCAGCCGTCCCGTTTGCAGCACAGGGACCAGGAGGAGGCGAGCGAGGGTCGCGCCCCCACCCCCTCGCTTAAATAGGTGACATTTCAGGCCCTGGTTATCAAAGGCTGAAGCCGCCCACGCATTTGAAACGCGAGCACAGTCTTGGCACGTGTCTCTCGTTCCTGGAGACGGGCGCGGTGCCTGCTGTTCGCGGGGCGTCCGGTGGGACGCGTGGGGCCTGCCTTCCGCTCGGACGGGCGGAGCCGCCGGTGCGGAGAACCCATCCGCGTAAGCCCCCTCCCCCGCCTGCGTCTTCCCTCGCCCGCCGCACTGGACTTGCTTCCAAGAACCGCCCTCGCCGCGGTCCCCCAATCACCGGGGAGGGGGCTCCTGAGCCTGGAGCGCGCGCACGAGGCTGCGGTTGGCAGAGAAGGGGCGAGATTAGAGGGTCGGGACTCAGCGTCCCCCTGCGCCGCCCCCGCGCCCACCACCACCCCGTCTGCCTGGAGGGAGGGAACCTCAGCCCGTCTCTCTGCCAGCCGCAGTGAGGAAGGCTGTGAGTATCGGGGGGGGCTTGGCCGCGGGCCGGCCCCCAAGGACGGGTCTCTGTCCGCTCATTCACTGGTCAGTATCTGACCCGAAGGTCCCAGGCTGAGAGGTGGTCCTGACCCAGGGCTCTAAGGATCGACCTGCCCGGGGCGTTCGAGGCTGCAAAGGGCCCACCAGGGTGGGTGTGCGCGAGCCAGTGCATATTCAGAGGCCTTCGACCCCCCCCCAGCTCATGAGCCCCCAGCACGGCGGGATGGGGTGCGGGGGGAGCGTCCTATGGCGGCCCTCCAGGACGCGCAGAGTGGGAATGTGGGGCGCAGAGGCGCCGTCCTGTGGCCTGACCCACTTCCCATGCCGCGGGGTGCTCCCAGGACACCCGTGGGAGCTCCGCGCCCACTCCGCGTCACCTTACCTGGGGTGCACAGCCAAGTCCCCAGTGAGAGAGGCCCCCTCCCGGCTGGCGGCCTGCGGGCCTGGGGCTCCTCCCCTTCGGGCCCCTCCCTTTGGGACTGTGTTGCCCTCTCTGCTACCTAACTGAGGTGAAACCAGAGTGTGTGTTTCCCCCCATCCAGCTTTTTATAGCCACCTGGGCGGGGCCCCCGCCTGCCCCCAACCAGGCTGGTGGCCAGGGGGCATCTCGTCCAGGAAGCCTCTCTCTCTCTCTCTCTCTCTCTCTCTCTCTCTCTCTCTCTGAATCTGGGGTTCGGCAGAATAACAGGAGCAGAGTCTTTCCCCTGAGACGCGGCCCTTTTTCAAAAGCGCCGTTTGCTTGGTCTTGTTTGTGATCGTTGGTTCCTCTTTGCTGTCCCCCGAAAAACGAATCCCCGTACAAATAGACTTGAGCAACTTTTCCGCAGGTGCTGATAGAGCCGGGCAGCTGTCCCGCGGGAAAGGGTCTCGCGTGCCCTCAGGTCGGGGGTCGGGGGCGGGGAGGGTGGACCCCGCGATGCCTCCGAGTGCCTGGTCCGCCACTGCCCAAGCAGTTTGGGGGGTTGCATCCAACGTCCAGCTTCCTTTCTGGCTGTAGGCTGTTCCCTCCCCTCAGGAAAGCCCCTGGTCCTGCGTCCCTCCCTTTGGCCCTCGCTCCCTGTCGCCACCCCCCTCCCAAGACGCGAGCTCCTGGGTTGAATTGAGCCCCGCCCCCCCCCCCCCCGTCCCCATGGACATCTGCCTGGGACCTCAGAACGCGCATGAATCTGCCAACTGCCTGCTGCCGCTGTCCTGACATCGGGTGCGCGCCCCCTGGAACACGGTGGCGTCCACGTGCCGCGGCCCGGGAAGGGAGTGGGCGGCGGGGAAGGCGGCCCTGGGGAGGCTCTGCCTCTGAGCCTCCGGATGTGAGCGCGGCCCTGGGACGCCCGGACTTCAGATGCTGGGTCTCCAGGACGGGCGATGGTGAGTCCCTGTGGGTTGGAGCCCCCAGGTGATGGGGCTTGGCTGTGGCTGCCCCAGGTCACCCCAGGGATCGTGGGTCTTGGTGGCTGACCAACCCCAGGTTGGGACAAAAACCGTTCTCCCTGGAAGGGCGGGACCAGGACCCCTGCCCTTCACCCACAGCAGAGGTGGGGGGGGTCATGCCCCTCTTGGTGAGACTTCAGGCCATCCCGACACTCGGTGTGCAGGGACCCACAGCGTATGGGAGCAGTTGGGGTGCACCGTGGGGGGCAGCGTGCGTGAGGCGCAGGGGTTGGCGGGGCTGCTGAGACCTGAGGGCCCAGGGCTGAGCCTGGGCTGGAGCCCTGGCCGGAGAGGCCATGGGGGGGGGGGGGGGGCGCTCCAGTCTGCACCCTGGCTGTCTCTCCCTGGTTGTTTTTCTCCCGCTCTTTTTCTTTTTTCTCTGCTTTTGTGTCTTTGCTTTCTTGCCTGCTGTTTTCCTTCCTTTCTGTGTTTTTCCATTTCTCTCGTTTTTTCTTTACTCGTTCTGTCTTTCCCTTTTCTCTCCGTCCTTCTCTCTCTGTACATCTTCGGTCTGTTGCTCTCTCCCTTTCTTCCTTTTTCTTTCTTTCTTTCTTTCTTTCTTTCTTTCTTTCTTTCTTTCTTTCTTTCTTTCTTTCTTTCTTTCTTTCTTTCTTTCTTTCTTTCTCTCTCTCCTTTGTCTTTCCCCCATTTTTTCTCGTTCTTCCTTCTTCCTATTCCTCCCTCCCTTCCTTCCCTCTTTCCTCCCTTCCTTTCTCTTTGTCTTTCTTTTCCCTCTGAAAGGCCAACGCACACACCACGCGGAGCAGGCATCCCTTTCTGCATCCTGGGTGGCCGTCGGCGACAGGACGGGCACCTGGGCCCTGCCACCGGAGGAGGAGACTTTCCCAGGGAAACTCCGTCCACTGCTAACAGCGCAGACCCTGGGGCTCTCGACCTGCAGCTCTGGCGTGAGCAGGTCCGGTCCACGCAGGGCAGCCCCTGGGGGTGCCCACGCCCGTCTCCCAAATCCAGCGGCCAAGCCCGAGGGGGGCCCGGGTCCCACGTCCCGGCTGTGCCTGCTTCGGGGACGCAGGCACCGGCAGGCGAGCACCGCCTCAGAGCCAGGCGGTGACGGTGCCCCTGGCGCGGACCTCATCCTGTGGGATTCGGGAGGCCGCACCTTCCGCTCCGCAGACCTGGCTCTCGTCCACCCGCTGCTCAGCGACCTGCATCGTCCCTCAGTCACACAGAGGTGACCACACACCGGAGAACGGAAGACGGGAATGGATGCCCAGGAGTAGGGGGTCGGGGAACCCACGTTGGGAGCGGGACCTGCCGCCCGGGCAGGGCAGGGTGGTGCACGTGGGGGACAAGGGAAGGAAAGACGGGAACTGGGAAGGGGGCAGGCCTGCCCGGGGCCAGCCAGCTGGGCCAGGGGCAGCCACCACAGGGCCGGGCAAGGTGCACCCTCGACTATAGACCTCGGCGGGCCATGCATAGGAGCGACGGCCCCAGACCACACAGCTGTGGGTCAGGAGGGCTGTCAGACGCTGCCACGCAGCCGGGCAGCTCTGAGGGGCCTCGGTCACCGGGAGGAGCCTAGAACCTGAGGCCCCGGAACAGACCTCGTGCCGCCCACCAGCTGGATGCCCCAACCCGGAACCAAGCAAGTCCAGCGCCCACGTCCCGGCGCCCACGAGGGAACCCGAGGGGTGCTCACCACCCGTCCTCATCCCGTTGTTCCGACACACGTGTGTGCTGCATGTCCTGCAGACAACGGTCCGAGAAAATGTGGAGACCATGCCAGCCCCCAGGGTCCCCCGGGGTCTGCAGGGCCAGGAAGCCGCTGCTCTGCCCCAGGGGTCAGAAGGGTGGGATCTCCATGGCCTGCCCCCTCCAGCAGGGTTCCCTGAGACGGAGGCTTCCCTGGAGAACTTCCCCGGACCCCAAAACACACACTGAGCCACTCTGCCCGCCCCCGACCTCAGGGGGAGGGTGCTGCTGGATCCAACACTCCCAGGCACTGGCTCTGAGGTGCGTTCGTCAACGTGATTGACAGGTGCCCTGGAACCTGCTCATCCATGTGATTGGCAGGTGCCCTCTGCTCTCTGCAGAGACCCAGCAGACCGGCACCAGGCTGAAACCCATGTGTTTGCTCATCACCAGCAGCTGTCGGGGGACGTGGGTCCTGCCTGCCACTTTCAGTGACCGTGCTGGACAGCGGTGGCCCCACGGTCATCTCCCTGAAACCTGGGGACAAGGCCTTATGGAAACATGGAGTTTGCAGATGAGACTTGGCGATGGATCGGAGAGGAGGTCGTCCTGGGTCAGGGTGGCCCTGCGTCCAGTGACAGTGTCCTGAGAAGGGAGAGAAGAGAAGCCAGGTGGAGATGGAGGCTTAGACGGGAGGGACGCGGCCACCAGCCCAGGGACGCCTGGAGCCCCAGGATCTGAAAGGGGAGAAGGCCCCTCCCTGGAGCCTGTGGAGGGAGCGCAGCCCCCGGGACCCCTGGGTGACCTCAGACACCTGGTCTCCAGGACGGGGGAGGGTGAACTTCTGTCGTTTGAAGTCTCTGCGTTGTGGTCAGCGATTTTAGCTGCCCCTGGACCCTCCTAGAATAATCGCATTTCCCTTTTCTCTTCCCCACGCCCCCCACCCAGCCCAGCCCCTCGTCAGCCACCCGCACAGCCACGGACCGACTTCCCAGGTTCTGATGTGGAGTCCAAACCCAGGCTCGGACATGGGTGTCCATCAGAGACCCCGTGGGGGTCAGGTTCATGCACAAAGCCGTCACTTCTGCTTCCACGAGACACTGACCTTCTTCGCCCGGTTGTCACTGACCGCGGGGCTGTGGAGGGAGATTGCGACAGGGGCCGTCTTTCGGTCCGACCCCAGCTGGCGCCCGCGATAAAGGCAGCTCCTTCCCTGAAAACACACCTTGCTTTCTGCTCGGAAACCGTTTTGAAAGATTCGGCCGCCCTTTATCTCGGCACCACCCCACCCCACCCAAGAGCGGCCAGTGCTGAAAGGAAAAATGTGCCTTATCATCGTCGGCTGTGGTCCCTTGTGAAATGCCGGTTGCCTCATCCGCGAGCGCTGTTGGGGTGAGTGGCCCCCACGTACCGGCTGGGTGGGAACGCTGTCTTCTTCTCCGAGCGGAGAAGCCCCACCCACGCTGTCGTCGGGGACGACAGCAGATAGGACCGACCTGAAATCGGCACAGCTCGCCCCGCCCTGCCCTGCTTTCGTCCGGGTCTCCCTGGGCCGTTCACAAACGTGCAGAGACCCACGGTGTGGGAGCCTGTGATGGGTGACAGACTGCGCCCTCCAGTTCAGTTAGTCGCTGACGTCACCCCGATAAATTCAACTCCACTGGGGACGCACAAAACGTTTCCTGTGAGATGTCAGGAATGGGCAAGCATGGTCGCCTGTCATTTTGTTCAGAGACCAGGGGGTGCCTGGGATCTGCCACCTCGGGGCGTTGTTTGACACCCTTTTCCTCAATCACTTTGCTCATCGTTAAAGGTGTATTAGACACAGAAGTGAGAGAGAGAGAGAGAGAGAGAGAACACATAAACGGATGCACAGAATGGGGCTGCCCACCCTGTGGAATACTACGCAGCCAGGAACAGGAGCGGGGCTCTGACTCAGGCTGCAGCGTGGACGGGCCTTGAACACAGGATGCCCCGTGAGAGATGCCAGACACTCATGGTCCTGTGGGGTCTTGTTCATTGATAAGAAATGTCCAGAGGACTCCAATCCACAGGGACAGAGAGGAGGTCACTAGTTGCCAGTGGCTGGGGGAGGGGGCTGGGGCTCATGGGGATGGGGTCTGTTTTGGGGTGACAAGATGGGGTGTGATGGTGATGGTGGTTGGTCACTGTTGTCACTTTACCTCATGTCAGTGGTGGTAATTGTCATGCCCTCTATATTTTTCCTGGAGAGAGAGAGACATGGATGGACATCTGACCTTTCTGTGCATAGAAGCAGTCCTGGGGACAATACTGAGGTTGTCCCCTAGCGCTACCTGACGCCTGAATCGACTCTGTCGTGTGTTCTGAGAGTGGCAGGCATGTTTTTATGAGCTTGCGTCTGAGAACAGTGCCACACTGTGAAGTCCCCGTCCCCGAATGTGACAACTGTCACCGGCCGAGTGCTGGGAAGACCCTCTGTCCTCGGGGTCCAGTCCAGACTCACAGTCAGGGGCTCAGAGGGGCTGGGGGGGCCGAGCTGGGACCTGGGAGCCTGGGCGTGCGTGGGCATTCCCCGGCCCTGCTTTTCAGAGCTGCCTAGTGCTCTGTTCTGCAGCGGTGGCATCGTTTACAGGATTGCCACTCAGTGTCCTGCCATAAATGCAGTGTGACAGTCGTGCTGTGGTCCAGGTTCCACGGGGCTCACCTGTGGGGCACCCACGAGTGAGCGTCCACCGGGAGCGGCCACGTCTCCTGCTGGGGCTCCAAGCCTGGGCCGCTCAGAGCCACGGAAGCTCTAGGGACCCCGGGTCTGCCAAGGCGGCCGCCCTGTGGACAGCCCGGTGGACGGCTGGAACTTCGGGCCGGTGCGTTCAGGGAGGGGGTCAGTGTGGAAGGTGCGGGGGGGGCATGGTCAGTCCGGTGTGTGAGTTCAAGGTGGCGGGTGCCCACCCGGGTTTCCGCAGGGCCTGCCCGGCCCCCACCCCGGGTGACGAGGGCCCAGGGGGGTTCCAATGGAGCGCATCCTCTTCCCCCACCTCCACGTGCCAGGGGAAAGGGTTCGAGCAAACCCCTCGGTGTTTGAAGGCCAGGCTTCTGCCCATGGCCTCACATGCACACACTGTTTTATGGGGGGTGGACTTTTCCCTCCCATTGGGGGACCCTGACATCCAGCTAGCAAGTCGGGGTGTATGAATCCAAAGAACCGAGCCCCTCCACTCCCTGGAACCCACGAGGCAGGTGCTCTCCTGCTCTGGGGCACCCACACCCCCACTTCTGCTTTCTGCTCCTGAAAAGGCACCGGTTCTGTCACCGCCACTTTCTCTGTGCGGATGGCGGACACTGCAGCCTCTCTTAAGAGAATAAACACTCCTGAGAGAAGACCTCCTTCACCGCACGGGGACCCCCTGCGGCCACAGGGGGGGCACTCGAGTGCGTCCCGGGCATTGTGGGGGCGCAGAGGAGGACGTCACGCCGGCGGTTGCGGGGGCCCCACCCAGCCTTCCACTGTTGGCGCCTTCCCACCTCAGAACACGCGTGCACACCCGATTCTGGCACCGAGGGCACGAGCTTATTTCCCCAGTAGAGATGGGCTCTGTGAACCGTCACAAACGTACACACGGAAGACTAACAGTTTCCTGAAGTTTGATGATGAGCACGCCGCACGCCCTGGGGTCACATTCTCATGGGTGTGTGTCTGTAAACACACATGCACACGCATGAGCACAGGCCACACACACATGTGCACCCTCTCTCACACACCCATGCACCAGCATGAACACGTGTCCACACGCATCCACACACAGGCGCACACGCCGCATCACGCCTGGTGCCGCACCACGTATGTTCCCATTTTGCAGAGGCGACGCGGTGCATAGGTCCCCGCAGGCAAACGCACGACGAGGTCCCCTTGTCCAAGCACCGTGCGGCCCACACGGGTCTGTTCACAAACACGGAGGCATTTCTGCAGCGGCTCAGACTCGAGCTCCGCGGGCAGGGGGCCGCCTGTCCCTGGGCTGCGCGTGGGACCGTCTGGGACGGACGAGCTGTCGGAAGCCCGCGGATGAGAGCGGATGGTGGGATGGCGCCGAGCTTTCGGAAACCAGCGTACGTAGTCGGCACCTGCCAGTCCTGTTACACACGCGCTTTGCTTTATTTCATGTTCTTTGTGGCGGATATGAGGCGTAGATATCCGCCTGGTCACGTAGATAAACAGCCATCGGACAGGAAAGCGTGGTCCTTGGTCCTTACGCAGGCCCCCAAACCTGCACTAAAGCTTTCACATGAGGAAGGACTGTGCCTCCCCCCCCCCCCCGGAAAAGCAACCACAGACCCGACTGGGAAGCCCTGATGCTCAGCCCGGAGCGCTGAGCCTGCCACGTGGGCCCCAGGGAGCTTCCTCTGTCCCAGCCACGCTCCCTGCCTTCCACCCCTCGTCCCCACCCGCGGGTGGCCCAGCTGCTGCGGAAGGTTCTCACCCCCCAGCCCCGGCCGGGGAAACTGCTCTGAAGTGCTCCCTCAGTCATGTCCACGGTCTGCCTCTCTCATGGCTTTGAGAGTCGCCCCAGCGTAGCAATAGCGTGTCTCCATTTCCAAATGTGAGCTCATTCACCTGCTAGGTGCTTCAGAGTCATGGGCAGGGCCGCCTCCTGGGGGTAGGCGTCCAGAAGCGAGGGGTGGGGCAGGGCGGGGGCAAGCCGACAGGAAAGACCACCACGGCGTGGCCGGGATCCCAGGGGGGCTTTCGACTCCAGGCAGAAGTTCTACACGTCGAGGCCAGGACACTCACGACGGGAGTTTTCGGAGCTGGGGCGGGGCGGCGCTGGGTCCGCGGGTTCTGCGGGTTCTGCTGGTCCGCTCACACAGGGCAGCATTTCCTCCACGGCGACAATGTCCTCGGCTTCCTGCAGGCTTGGTGGCCGGTGGCCCCCGTCCCAGGTGATCTAAGAGAGGATACGGAACAGCAGGGGCCACTCGCCGGTGTCCCTGGGTCACCCGTCGCAAAACGGGAGAAGGACCAGCATAGCCAGCAGCCCAAGGGTTCAGCAGGGCAATAGACCAGCACAGTGCACGGCACACCGTGGAATATTACGCAGCCGTGAACAGGAGTGAGGCTGTGACTCAGGCTGCCGCATGGACAGAAATCCGTGAGGGACGCCAAACACCTACGCCCCTGGGGGGGTCTTACTCTATTTATAAGAAGTGTCCAGAGGACGCCAATACACAAGGACAGAGGGGGGTCAGTGTCCCCTGGGCCTGCTCACCGCAGGGGAGGTGGCAAAGCTGTCCACGAGCTCCGTCTTCGCCTGAGGCACCGGCGGGAACAGCGTCCGCCTCAGGGGCCACCTGTCGGGGAAAGTGGGCACGTGGTGGTCTCCCGTGCTCGCAGCTGGGGGCAAGGCGATGCTGGGGGGGGCGGTCTTTCCCTTTTAGGTGGTCCCGCTACCAGCAGGGAGTCGCTGAGTGCAGGAGGCTGTGCGCAGACACCGAGAACCCTGACTGGGCACCCTGGCCAAGTGTCCTGGGGCCTCATCTCCGTACCAAGTGGACCCTGGACCCCCGCGGGGCCACCCACCCCCTGGGACAGCAACCCCAGCTGGGAGACACGGAAAACGCCTGCTGCCCCCTGGTGGCCGGCGTGAGCAAGGACAGGTTCAGCACGGTTCCCCCTTTGCAGGGGGCTCAGGGCTTTGGGTAGAACCTCAGTGTGGACATGCTACCGGGGGCTCAGAACCGTCTTCAGGACACAGGTTATTCTGTGCAGAGCCCCCTGGCTTCACGTCTTCATGAGAAATCCTGGCATCGGTCACAGCTTTCCTCCACGTGCAAAGTAACGTGTCCACCCCTCCGTGAAAGGGTTCCCACGGAGACGGGACACAGCGTTTACGGAGGCCCACGACCATGGCTGTTCGGGAGCGCGGACTCAGGCCGGAGCCGACCTGGCGTCCCCATGGGACGGCACTTGTGGAGGAGAAAGGGGAGGGGACAGGGACACCCACAGCAGGGAGGCGTGGCTGTGGGCGCAGCTGACATGGCACCGTGACGCTGATTCTCCACAGCGTGTTTCCTTCTCAGTCCTGGGCTCATCTGTCCAGTCCTCACCCCATCTGCTTTCCTGTCCCCTTGGCACACAGCTCTGTGGGACACAGGGTGGCTCTCGGCCCCGTGCACAGGTCACTTTGTCCTGTGCCAACGCCCACAGGGTGGAGCCGTCCCACGTGTGACGCAGCTTCTCCGGACCGGCGGCTGCAGCCTCCGCCTGAGGGATCGTTTCCTGCTTCTCCCCGTCCCAGATGCCAACCCGGGCACGGCGGTCTGCACGGCATCCCTGGGTGCCGGCCCGGCCCCAGTGCAGGGGCTCTGTCTATTCTGTGGTTTACAAGTGCGTATTTCGGGAACTGCGCCGCCCACAGCACGCAGCAGCGGGGTGGGAGTCTTCGGACCTCGGTGCCGGGCGGAGCCGGCGCGGTGTGTGCAAGGAAGCCCTGTGGCGGCTCCGGGGCCCGCCCCCGCTGCCCTGTCCCAGCTCTCAGCACTCCCACCGGCTTCCTGTGTTGGGTTCTCTGCCCTGCTCACTCTGCGTCACCTGGGTCCCTGCACGGGGCACCGTGGTTTCAGGTTGTCGGGGGGCGTGCGGGGGACTCACCTTGTACACAGCAGCGTCAGGACGGCGATGACTAACACGACCGCCCCCACCAGCAGCGCCACCAGGGCCATAGAGGTGCCGCTGACCTCCGGTTCTGGGTGGCCTGCCGGGCAGTGGAAGGGGGGCAGGGGGTCAGAGGGCACCAGCCCTCGGGGTTGGGGTTGGATGGGGAGATGAGATTCTGGTCGGGGGAAGCAGGGCGGGACCCAGGTGGACGGGACTTCCAGATACTGGCACCGGGGCAGCTGGAAACATGAGCAGTGACGAATCTGTCCCTCCCCGAGTGCTGTGTCCACCCCGCCTCACTGAATCCCCGTTTTCCCGACGCCCTGCGGACAAGACAGAGCTCACTGAACACATTTCCATGCGGCCGCCACGCCACGCGATGCTTCCCTTCTCGGTGGGTGTTTACTTTCCACACTGCACTGACATAGCCAGAGGAATGAATGTGTAACTGTGAAATGGGAAGGCGGGGACAGTGGGGGGCTATGTGTGTGTAGCTTGGACCACTGCTTGACCCGTGAAGCTGCTGCCTAGACGGATAGAGGCTCCCACGTGGACTGAACAACTACTCTCGGGTGAGGGGGCGTTGGGTGGGGTGTTCGGCGGGGCAGCTTTTCTGCCTCGTGCAGGTGTCCACACAGAACTCATGCCCTGCCGGCCCCTGGGACACCTGGGTGTCTCACGCCTGGTCTCCAGGACAGAGGATGGGAGGGAGGCAGCGCCCAGCCCGGGGCGGCTCTCACCGAAATGCACTGTGGTACTCCATTCGCTCCACATGACGCTGGGCAGGGTCTTCCCCCTCAGGCGGACCGAGTGCTGGCCTCCGACTGCCGCCCCCGGCACCACGTATACGTTCTTCTCCCGTCCGAGTTGGGAAACCTTCCAAAGCAAAGCAGGCCTGTAGCGACCGGCAGGCAGGGGCAAGGGACCCTCAGGAGCTGGAGCGGGACAGTCGCGCCCTGTGTCACCGCTGACGTCCCCTCTCCACCCAGAGCCGTCCCCACTGTCTCTCCCCCACCCTTTGTGCCCTGTCTCAGGCCCAGACCGGAGGGATGTGAGGGGCCCCCTGCACATCTGGGCCTCACAGTCCCCTGCATCATCGGAGGGGGGCTGGTTACACAGTCAGGGGGACAAGAGTCCCCCCCATGCTGGCAGTTTCGGTGGCACAGCTGCAGTCGAAACTGGGGCATGCACGCCTTGCAGCAATTCCACCCAGCACCCTCAGAGGTCCAGCCCCGGCTACAGGGGCGGAACTGGGCAGGGCAGGCCGAGTTCCCGGTCTTCCACGGCTCGCGCTGTGTCTGCAAAGCCACTCGGGGAACTGAGTGAGTTTCTCTTGCATTTGTGCTGTGTGTGGTCCCAGACGGTGGCTTTTGTCGGCGGCTCCGTTCAGATGCGGCAGGTCCCAGGCTGCCTCCTGTCCCGCTCACCACGGCCCCCCGGGCAGCTGCCCCAAAGTAGGCATATGGAAGCAGAGCTGCCGGCCACACCAGCGAGATGGACTGGGGGGTCCCCGGCCACCAAGGAGCACCCGGGTGTCCCCGGGCCGGTGGCTGAGTCCCTCCCGTCTCTGCCTCTGTCTCCATGTGGCTTCTCCTCCGAGTCTGCGTCTCCTCTTCTGTCCCTTCTCAGGACACTGTCACTGGACGCAGGGCCACCCTGACCCAGGACGCCCTCCTCTCAGATCCTTCCCTCCTCCCACCTGCAGACACCCTGTTTGCGGGTGAGGTCCCATCCTGAGGTGCCAGGCGGGCATGCATTTGGGGTGCACACAGCTCAGGTCGCTACAATTCGAACCGGAAACGCTGAAGGGACCACCGTATCCAGCAGCATGAAGAACACGGCTTCTCCCTCCAAACCCAAACCCTGGTGAGCCTGGAAGGGGGTGCTGGCCAGACCCCCGCAGTCGAGCTGAGGGACCCACCTAGGGCGGGCTGCACCGTGAGGGCCAACAGCCACGGCACGGACGCCGCACAGAAGAAAACAGATACTTACGGGGTCTTCCCGGGAAGAGGTGCCCTGGAGAAGCAGACGAGAGACGGTCAGAGGCTGCGTTTGCAACATCGGATTCCAACACGGGGCCCCACCCGGACCCCCAGGACCGGTGCAAATGTTCTTCGTGGCTGAAACTATTTGGGATTCAGCAGGGGCAGCAAGAAGTTTCTGGGGAGCTCCCCTAATCGAGCTGAAAGCAGGACACCCAGGAGAATGCGGACGCGTGAATTCCTTCTTTGGGGTCGGTTCACTCCGGGGAGGAAAGTGAGGGAACCTGTCCCCAGTCACATCTCCTGGGGAGTTAAATGGCCCCAAGAAAAGAGAAAAGGCCACTCCTTACCTGGGTCAACAAACATACCCCCCATTTTCTTGCCTCTCATTTGTCTTTGCTAAAAAAAAAAAAAATACATGCTTCATCCCTGTAGAAACTTTATTCCTTCCTTTCTCTTTCTTCTACGGAGGTAGGCAGAGAAGCCCCAAACGGTAGCTGTTTGAGGACTCAGCTGTTTGGTGAGCTGCCCAGGGCACAGAAATACACTTGGTCTTTTTGGCTGATGTTCATTCACCTGCTGTTTGTTGGTTTCATTTGCATGACCCCCGGTGCAGAACCTCACGGGGTAGAGGAGATGGTTTTGCACGGAATGTACAATGCCCTTCCTCTGAATTGAGCTCCGGCCAGTGCATGGATCTGCCCCAGGGACCTTATGAGGGGCAGCAAAAGGAGAGTGTGTAGGGAGAACCGTTAGGTGTCTCAGTAACGGGTAAGTGGGCCTCGTGCTGTGAGGGTCTCAGGCCCTGAGCCATTCTGCAGGGTGTGTGTACCAGTGCGTGTGCCGGGCACTCTGCAGAGAGCACACCTGGCTGAGCGTGGCGGCTGACCCTTCACTTCACCGGTATAGTTCTGGCTGCAGAGGGTCCCCCCGAATCTGCGGTTCCTAAGCAAGAGGGGACCCAGGCAGGGGAGACCTGGGCCAGCCTGGGGGCAGGTGTGTGGCACAGAACCAACCTGGGCTCACCTGTGTGAAGCCACCTGCTGAGATCTCTTGTCTAAGGTCACCTGTGAGTCTACCTGGCCAAGGTCACCTGTGTGTGTCCTGTGTGAGGTGACATGTTGGAGGTCATCCAAGCGAGAGACCTGTACGGTGTGACCTGTCTGAGGTCACCTGAGGGTCCACACTTCCCAGAGGCCAGGTCCAGGGCTCCAATTTTAATCCCGGAACGAGCCAAAGCTCTGGGAAGAGTGTTCATTCATCAGGAACACGATCTCGCCATCGTCCGAAGGAGCGAAATACTCCCAAACGCATTTCACAAAAGAAGAACGAGATGGGGTCGCTGACGACTCTGAGCCGTCCCACCAAAAACGGAAGAAAACAGAAATACGTAGAAGCACCCCCCGCGTTCAGGGGTCGGCAGACTTTGTCCGGCGAAGATGACCCTGTTCCCCGGCTGGTGTCTAGAGTCAATGTCCTCTGTATCAAAACTGCAACAACTCCTTTTTTGTTCGTTTTTGTTGTTTGTTTGTCCTGCACCATTGCACCTGCACACCCCAAAATTCACATTTAGCGGCAAAGACCCCTGAGCAACCAAAGCCATCTTCACTGGAAGTCACCACACGTCCTGACCTCCACAGTCGCCCCAAAGCGACAGGAATCCAACTGGTGTCAAGACAGACACACAGACGGACAGAATAGAACAGCCCAGAATGGGCCCGACCTGGGTGGCCAGATGGTTGTGGAAAGGCCGAGAGCTGCAGAGGCCGAGAGGTTCAAATTCAAACCTTCGGAACCAGTGGCTCGGGCACAAGCAGACCTTGTCCCGCAGGGGAAGGGCACGGGGCCACGGCCTCCCACCAAACAGGAAAGGCCTCTCTCCCCGCACCACAGACGTAAACGTGAGCATCAGAGGCTGGAACCCGTGGATAGAGCGCAGCTACGGCCACACCGTGGGCCCCGCCAAGTTTCCGAGCCCTCACACCAAAAGCTGAAGAAGGAGAAGAAAGAGAAATAGCCGGGCGTAGTCAGAAAGTAGCGGATGTCCCTGTGAGGACGGAGAGAAGCTGCGGGTAGCGCCACACAGAGCAGCAGACTGAGCTCCCGTTCGTGACCCTGGACTCCACACGGGAGAAAAGGGGAGGAGCCCTCGGCACAGCCCCGGCCCCGGCCCCGGTCCTCACCGCCACCTGGACGTCCACTTCATAGCACAGGCTACTCCAAAGGAAGTCGAATCGCATCCTGGGGTTGTCCCACCGGATAACATGGTGGGAGCCGTTGTAGTCGACCGTCAAGTTGGATGGGGGGTTCAGCTTCTCTACAAAAAAGCAACACCGGACACAACTCGACGATGTGAACACGTGTTCAGTGGACGAGACCTCACGGCCTGCCTCTGATGAGTCCTGTTTTATGTTTCTTGCATAAAAGGGAGAAAGTGTTGTCTTGCGAAGCAAGACATTAAGGGCAGCCAAGCCCCTGAGAAAAGCCCCTTCGCGTGCGTGGAACCCCTGCTGGGTGGACCCCCGCGGGCCACAGCCTCCGTCTCTCCCAATGGCTGGTGAGAGCCTCCTCCTGTCCCTTCTCTATTCCCTTCACCAACGACGTCCGCGGCCCACTCGGCCACCACCTAGGTCCAGCCAGCCACGCGGGCTGGCCTCCTGTCATCCCCACCCCTCCAAGTGCCCATCTAAGGGACACCCGCCCCCCAATCCATGCACCAGATGATCAGCCTGCAACCAAATACCACGCAGGTGGGGCCCCGGCCAGAAGGAGAGGAACATGTTGATTCAACCCAGAATGAAGATGAAACTCTGACACACAATCCACAAAGCATGAGTTTGGAGGGACCCCAGGGACTCAGGGCTCGGGTGCCTTTCCTATGTGTCCACCAATAATCGTGTTTATGCACGGATTCTACACCCGCAACTTTGCTCCCTAAATACCATGGGTCACCCCCAAATCAACCCTCTGGGAAACTCTTACAGCCATTACCAGGGCACAAAGTGGGCACAGAGATAAATGGGCATATCTTCCATCAAAGACGGAAGTATAGGTGGATACACTTGGCCTCCTCGCACAACCAACAGAGGGACAGCGACAAACTTAAAGACAAAAAATAACCAGAACTACCAGAAAATCAGACTATTAGGAAAATGCGGCAACCAAGGAGCCAAAGAAGAAACATTCACCCGGACCGGTAGGAGGGGCAGAGCCGGGCAGCCGGGCAGAGAGGACTCGTGGGAAGGCAGCGGCTGGCGGACGGGGCGAGGTGGTGGCTGGCCGAGCTGGTGGTCCCACGTTTGTGTGCAGGTAAACCGGGAGGAATAACTGGAGAGCAAGGTGGACCATGCAACCCAGGGGTCCAGCATGTGGACACGAAGCCTCAGACTGCAGACTGAGAAAACCTGTGGGGGTTGCAGCGGTGGGAGGGACTCTCAGCTTCACAGGAAAGTTGGGGGGAGAGACCCACAGGGTCCTAGAACGTACACAGAGCACCCACCTGGGTGGTCAGCACCAGAAGGGCCCGATTTGCTCGTGGGTAGTGGAGAAAGTGACTGAAATCCAGCAGAGAGGGGAGCAAGCAGCACTGCTCCCTCTCGGACCCCGGGCCCACATACAGCGTCACAAAGCAGCAATGCGGGTTGCCCCGCCCTGGTGAACACCTAGGGCTCCGCCCCTTCTATGTAACAGGTATGCAGAGAACAAGAAATATGCCCCGAATGAAACAACAGATCAAAGCTCAGAAAGTAGAGCTAAATGATGAGGAGGTAGCCAACCTACCAGACGCAGAGCTCAAAACCCTGGTCGTCAGCATGCTCACAGAATCGGTTGAGTACGGTTGCAAAATAGAAGAAAAACTCGGGGCGATAAAAAGTGAACTAAAGGAAAATGCACAGGGAACCAACAGTGATGGAAGGAAACCAGGACTCAAATCAAGGGTTTGGAGCAGAAGGAAGAAAGAAAAAACATTCAACCAGAACAGAATGAAGAAATGAGAATTCAGAAACTGAGGAGAGGCTCAGGAACCTCCAGGACAACTTTAAAGGCTTCAACATCTGAATCATGGGGGTGCTGGAAGGAGACGAGGAAGAGCGAGACATGGAAAAGTTATTTGAACAAATAATAAAGGAGAACTTCCCCAATCTGGCAAAGGAAATAGACTTCCAGGAAGCTCAGAGAGTCCCAAAGAAGTTGGACCCAAGAAGAAACACACCAAGGCACATCATCATTACATTAGCCAAGATTCAAATGAAGGAGAGAATCCTAGAAGCAGCAAGAGATAAGGGGACAGTCACCTACAAAGGAGTCCCCATCAGACTGTCAGTGGATTTCTCAAAAGAGACCTTACAGGGAAGAAGGGGCTGGGAAGAAGTATTTGAAGTCATGAAGGTCAAGGACCTACATCCAAGATGAATCTATCCAACCATTTAGAATGGAAGGGCAGATAAAGTGCTTCGCAGATCAGGTCAAGTTCCAGGAGTTCATCACCGCCAAGCCGTTATTATATGAAATGTTAAAGAAGTTACCTAGGAAAAAGAAGATCAAAAAACAGGAACAGTGAAAGGACAACAAACTCACAGTTATTAACAACTAAACCCAAAACAAAGCAAAAAGAACTAGGCAAACAACCAGAACAGGAACAGAATCACAGAAATGGAGATCACGCGGAGGGTTATCAGCGGACAGGGGGAGAGGGAGAATGGGGGAAAAGGTACAGGGAATAAGAAGTATAAATGGTAGGCAGAAAATAGACAGGGGGAGGGCAAGAACAGTGTGGGAAATGGAGAAGCCAAAGAACTTCTATGTACGACCCATGGACATGAAGTAAGGTTGGGGGGCGGGCTTCTGAGAGGTCTGAACCTACCTCAATGAACGTGAACTAGGATGGAGGGGAATAAAGGGGAGACAAAAATGGGACAACTGTAACAGCATAGTCAATAAAATATATTAAAAAATTTTTTTAAATAGACTCTTTCCTAAGGGGAGAAAAGAAAGATAAATTGGCACAAAGGAGCTTACTAAGATAATCCCTGTGTTCCGCTGGAAACCCCGTATACTGACCATTTCTGGAAGGGCAGACCTATTGTGTGTTTCTGCTCACTTCCTCCCCATTTATTGTGCTCTGTTAAAATGCTTGATAAGGCCCTGGCTGGCATAGCTCAGTGGATTGAGCGCAGGCTGCGAACCAAAGGGTTGCAGGTTTGATTCCCAGTCAGGGCACATGCCTGGGTTGCGGGCCAGGTCCCCAGTAGGGGGCACTTAAGAGGCAACCACGCATTGATATTTCTCTCCTTCTCTCTCCTTCCCTTCCCCTCTCTAAAAATAAATAAATAAAAATCTTTAAAAAATGGTAGATAAATGCTTGCATTGAACCATTTTTTGGGGGGGCAGAGTTCATTTTATTTCTATAAAGCTGCCCCATGCATGTAAGAGGTAAAAATTAAACTTAAAACACATGATTTTCCCATCGCACGTGCGAGGTGCCTCCACAGCCCCCGTCTCAGAACCTCAGAGGGGAGAGAAAAGCTTTCTTCTTTCCATTGTTCTCCTCAAGCACAGGACAACTGTGATGTGCCTCAGAGAAGCTGTGTGACCGCTAGGCTTTGGGGTGGGTGGCTTAAAGGACAGAGCCATTGGCCCCAAGGTCAAGGTTAATGCAACAGCCATACATTCAGGAGGGTGTCTTCCAACAGAAACACACATAAAAGGGGCTGATACGTTGACCCGTGGATGGACATGCTGTGGTCAGAGGGTGTCCTTGTATTTCTTAGACGTGACGACCTAGCGTCTGCTCCCTCCGTGTTTTGGGAAGTTTCTAGGACATCACCGCCATCGGTATCGGAAAGTTCTTGCGGCTGCAGGAGAAGCTCGTTCAGCCTGGGTCGGGGGTATGCACCTGTCCTGATTCCCACCGCAGGGCACTGGTGTGAACGCCCTACCTCCAGCTCCGCATGTTTGGGGGGCCCGGTTCCCGACCCCAGGATGCTGCTGAGGCCCGGCTGCGCCCCGACAAAGTGCTGGCACCAACCACAACGCAGTGACAGAAGATGCCTCCCAGGGGTGGGGGGTGGGGGGTGGGGGGAGAAGTGCCACGCGAGACAGCGCCTCACCGATTTGAATGGCGTTCAACCGGGGGAAGTCCACAAACCGGATGTCGGTCTCTCTGCTGGTCCCGTTCAGCAGGAAAAGGTAAGCGTCTGTGGGCTGCGGCTCTGGGAGTGCGTCGAAATGACAGCCCACGTGCGTCCCTGCGCCGTCCAGGATGTAGTGGGGACACTCCACTTCCTCGTCATCGTCCCTATGATTTCCAAAAAACATCAAGGGGGAGGCACGGCGGGCACCCTTTTTGCAGACACGGCACCGAGACGACCCCAGCACCCCCTAACTTCCAGCCCCACCCCCGGAAAACGCTCCGGAAAAGGGACAAGAGAAGGGAGGGAATTCTGCCACTGGATACGCATGGAAACCGAAGGGAATGCACGTGCCAGGTCATGGCACAAAGCTGGCCATGGCAGGAAGAAATGCCACCTTTTCAGAGAGTGGGGCGGAGACACCCCTCGCACTCCCTCCTAGGGCACGGCGCCCGTTTCCACGGTCTGAGAGGACCGAGGAAGCATTTTGCACAGGAAAGAGCGGAAGCTGAACTGCACCCCTTTCCCCTTGGCGTTCTCACTCTCCCATGCTCCTTGGACGTGCCAAGTCCTGGAAGCAAGAGCCCTGGCTTGCGGGGACCGGCCAGAGGCTTCTTCAACCTGTGAGTTTGGGGGCCCCAGACAGGGGCCAGATGCTGGGCAGGCCCTCCCCGGCTCACCAGCAGTCCCTGCAGTACAGCTGGTACTGGACGTCCCCGGGCGCAGCGGGGCCCGGCGCCCAGCTGCAGTTCAGGAGCTGCACGTTGGAGATGACGCACGAGAAGTTCACGGCCCCGGACCCTTCCCGGCCTGGGAGGGCAATGGAACGCGGGTCAGCGAGGGCGCCCCCACACCCCGTGTATCCGCGGTCCCTGCGCGGGGAGGTCAGCGCTGCGCGCTGCTGCACAGGACCGCGGGTCTGCAGCGAGGCGCCCTCACCTGCGTTGTGGAAGCTTAGCGCGCACCGGAAGGGGGCGCCGTCCGCGGTGCCGATCACGGTCAGCATGGCGCCCCGGTGCAGCACGGCGTTGGGGAAGCGGCAGGAGTACGCGTCCTGGTCTCCAGGCTGCGGGAGGCAGAGTGAGGGGCAGGCGCGCTCCCGCGCTCCCGGTTCGGTCCGGGACCGCGCCCCCCCAGGGGTGCGGCGGGTCGCGCCGGGACTTTGGGTCACCGCGAGTTTTGTGGGAAGGCCTCCGCGTGCCTCCGAGGGCACATTGAACATCGTTAGCAATTGACCATATTTATAGGGACGTCCGGTACCAGCTGTCCTTCTGGACCTGCCGGTGAGCCGGGGGAGGACCTGCCCAGCATCTGGCCCCTGTCTGGGGCCCCCAAACGCACAAGCTGAATTTTATATATATATATATAAAAACTATACAGATAGTTTTTATTCCATATGCAACAAGAAAATACATATTCCTTTATTTAAATATGAATACCACACATTTAAAATATATTATTTATATTAAAATATATAAATACTACAGTATATATTTAAATATATTATTTTATCCACGTAATCAATGAAATATGTTTATTAAAATATATTTTAAAATATATATTTTATAAACACATATATTTATAAAATCATATAAATGCACTTTAATATATATTAAGTACAATTATTTTAAAATGTATTTAAAATATATTATTTATAACGTATTGTATTTAAAATACATTTTAAAATAATATAAACTATTTTTGAATATATTTAAAATAACACATATTTTTAAATGGATTGTTTTATTAAGTTTTATTTAATGAATAAATAAAATACATTTATTAAAACAATATAAAATAGCCCTGGCTGGTGTAGCTCAGTGGATGGAGCACAGGCCTGCAAACGAGAGTATCGAGGTTCAATTCCCAGTCAGGGCACATGCCTGGGTTGCAGGCCGGTTCCCAGCAGGAGACACACGAAAGGCAACCATACATTGAAATTTCTCTCCCTGTCTCCTTCCCTTCCCCTCTAAAGGTAAACAAATCAAATCTTTAAAAAAAACACTAAAAACCAGCCAATATAAAATAAAATTATATATAATAAAATTATATATGTATTTATTTGTGACTTACATACAAACATATGCAATAAAATTATACATTTACCTGTGACTTATATATAAATGCATGCAATAAAATTATATATATTGATACACTATATTTATATGTAAATGTATATTAGATATTTTTGGGACTGTATAGATAATAAAAAGAGGGGGAGAAAATGGAATGCATTCTCGCTTCTCCATCAGCCCCTGTCCATTTAATCTGCAGGCCCCGCACAGCTCCTGACAGGGCCCGGCCTGCAGGTCCTCACCCTCCGAAAGGCCTCGCCTGCTAGTCACATCATCGCCTTGCGGATTCGGGGCTTCGGCACCCGGGTTCTGTGGGGTGGGCGGGCACCGGCTGCCTGGACCTCACCTGCCTTCTCCCCACACCGCCCCTCCCCACCAGGTGTCTGAGTTGACCTTCATGCCTACAGCGTAAGGACAAATGCCCAGCCTCTGCCCGGCCCCCCATCTCAGCTGGGGCGGGGTCACCCCTGACCTGTGACCCCAGGAGGTCCCTTTCCACCCCCCTGCAGATGTCCTGGGGAGAGGTGGCCCTGCCCTAGCTGTCACCTGCCTCCTCATGGCACAGCCCCCCTTCGGTCATAAAGAAGCAACAACCCTCCCAGCTTTCCCTCGACAAGGGGGGCATGCAGTGGGCTGTCCCCACTCGGCTACACAAAAGGCTCACACTCCTGTTCGTCCCGGCCACCTCTTGGCCAAAGGCCTGCGATGTACAGACTGCCTTGCGGGGACAGATAAACGCACAGAGAGACCACGGCAGGACCACGTACAGAACAGGAACGCCGGCCCACCACCCGCGGAACCCGGGCAGGAAGCCGGAAGCAGATGGCAGCCTCTTCTGAGGCCCAGGGAGCTAAACAAATGCTTTTGCAACCTCCGGGCAGGGCTTGCTGAACAACGGGGACATTTCCTTTAACTGGGTGCCTCATTCCAGCAGAGCACCGGTGCAGAAACAAAGCAACCAACCATGGGCACCCCTCACCAGCCACAGAAATACCCCCGCTTGTAGTCGGCGGCCTCCATCTGCTCCAGAACGCCCCACCCCCCCCAGTCGGGGCAAAGATGCGTTTCGGCCGGAGGCAAACGGGCAGCCGACAGAGGCAGAAAGATGCCCTCCCTGGAGTTTCCTGGGCCTGGCAAAAGCGGAGACGTCTGAGAAATAAGTAAGGACGGCCACGGAGCCCCCGTCTGGGGACACTGACGACCACGAAGGACAGGGAAACCCGGCCCCAAGCAGGAGCTGCGTGAACACAGCCACTACAGACCGACCCCCCCCCCCCCCCCCCGTCGGCCTTCCCACAGTGCACGGCCCCGGGGGCACCAAACGCCTGCTTGGCTCCCTCTTCTTTCTATGGTGCCTCCCCATGCCAGGTCAGACTTTTTTTTAACACCCTGTGGAGTTTGCACGCCGTTTCCACCGTTTTCCCGCGTTTCTTGTCTAATTTGCAGGCCCCTGCCCACCGTGCTTCCCAGTGTGGACAAGGGTGCTTTTCCTCACCTTCACCATCAGGGGGCGTCCGTGCTCTCCTTTCCACGGTGCGTGTCTATTATCACCAAAGGCCTCACACTCACTAACAACTAAATCTATTTTCTTTGCCTTGCACCTTGGGAGAGGGGTTTTCTGGGTTGCGAGGGGGCTTGGTGGTTCATTCTATTTTTCTACCGGCGCTCGGGGATGTCTCAGGAATGGGCTGGGTCAGAGCCCTTTGTATAGGGACCGCAGGGGACATGTCACCCTGGGGACACAGAGAGTCCCCACAGCCTGCACTCAGGGGTCTGTTCTCCGCCCGACTTTCTGGGAGAAGGTTCTGGAAGCAGCCAGGGGGCAGCAGAAACATCAGACCCCCACGCGTCGGGCACAGGTGTCTGTCTGTTTTTAAGGAGTTTTTAAAGGAGGTTCGAGAGAGCCGGGCGCGTGGCTGGGGACAGCGGGGCACGTCATCTCGGCAGTGGGCCGGCACAGGACATGAAGTTGTCCGTACTTCCAAGAGGGCAAGGACATGCCCGCCTTGTTCTATGCGTTTCCTTTAGGAAAGGTGCCAGGCTACAGCGGCGTGGTCTCCTTAAAAGCCGGGGAGACTGGTCACTTGTGCACCCCAAGAATGTATCCTCAGGGGCAGGAAGTTTCCTGTGCAAAGGGGGCAAGAAGCCTGGGTCCTGCCTCCCCGCTCCTGTGAGGGTTCTGTTTGCAGCTGTAGTTCCTACTTGTTTGGAAAGGAGCTAGTTTTGTTTTAACTTCCAATCAAGACAGGAACATGCACGCCGAGGGCTGTGGCCTGCTGACCGTCGGAAGGAGGAGATAATTTCTGGTTTTCTGTTGAGGCCCACGTCACACCCTGGTATCCTACTTAATCTTTGTTAACACGGTCTGCTGCCCTGGCAGGAGATTTTATGTCCTGATACTTGGCTCTGTGCTAGAACGTTTCGGGAAAAAAAAATGTAATTATTGTATTGTGGTCCAGGAGGGCATACAGTTGGCCGTTTTCCCCTGTGGGACGTGTGTGGCTCAGCGGCATGGTGGACATTCAAAATGTCGTGTTGCCCTGCGGGTGATCTGGACATTCTCAGGAGCCCCCCGGGAAGCCTCACGCAGTATCACGTAGAGGAAATCTCAGGTTACGGTGACAAAGGGCAGCCAGGGGTGGGCACTGACTATGGGAGCCTCTCCCTCCTCAGCCAGATGGGAGCCTGCTGACCAGAGTTGTGATATTCGTTCAGATTTCTTCAAAACCAACAGACGCCTCGGTGGCATGAACATATATTGTGTATGTGCCAAATCCATGGGGGTGGGGGGGATGGTGGTGACAAAAGCCCTGCCTGCTGTGGCTCAGTGCATTGCGTGCCAGCCTGCAAAACAAGGGGTCGCTGGTTCGATTCCCAGTCAGGGCACATGCCTGGGTTGCAGGCCAGGTCCCCAGTAGGGGGCGTGCAAGAAGCAACCACACATTTGTGTTTCTCTTCCTCTCTTTCTCCCTGCCTCCCCCTCCAAAAATAAATGAACATCTTAAAAACAAAAACAAAGCCAGAAGCAAAGGCAGTATAGCCATCAGTCAGTAGCTTCGGTAACTGGTTTCAGGACCAGCGTTGAACAACTCCAAACTCTGAGAATGCTCAAGGCCTTTCTTTTTTTTTTTTTTTTTAACTTTTAAAAAGATTTTATTTGTTTATCTTTAGAGGGGAAGGGAAGGAGAGAGGGAGAGAAATATCAATGTATGGTTGCCTCTCATGTGTCCCCTGCTGGGAGCTGGCCTGCAACCCAGGCATGTGCCCTGACTGGGAATCAGACCACCATCCTCTGGATCACAGGCCCGCCGTCAACCCACTGAGCTCCACCAGCCAGGCCAGGGCCTTTCTATAAAATGCAATGGCGTTAGCACACAGCCTACCGGCCTCCTCCCCGCAGCCTCCTCCCCGCAGCCTTCACATCCTGTCTAGATTACTTGCAACACTGGATACAGTGTCAATGTGGGTGAAAACTGGCTACATTGTATCCTTTCAGGAGCAGGCAGGCAAAAGCGGTGCACACACCCAGCAGCCAGGTCAGACCTGAGTACCCAGCAACAATGTAACATTTGCTAACAGGCTGGGAAGCCGAGAAGAACAACAAGGATGTTTCAAATATTTCCCACCGGGGTGGGCAACTGTAACTCTGTAGCAGGAGGCAGAACCCTAAAGGGGACTCCTGGAATCCTTTAAGTGGTGAAGAGAGAGAGAACTCATGTGTACACATGAAAAGAACCCTCTCGGCACCGCAGGTGCCCAGAGCCCTTGTCATTCGAGACCAAAGGCGATTCAATTTCTAGCAAATTTCTAGATCTGCCTTCTTTCCAAGACCATTTCCAAAGGCATCGCTTTGGGGAGGAAACACCATAAAAAGGTTCTCACGTGTATAAAGAGGCTCCACGCAGCGCTGTACTCAAGTGGCTATTTTTTTTAAGCATTTCCGGCACATCAGGGGTGGAAGGGAAGTCCCGGCCCCACCTCGGATCTGCTTCCTCAGCCCACTCCCAGTGACCTCGGGGGTGAGCTGCCTGGGTCCCATCCGCCAGATGGTCAGTCCCAAAGCCCCCATCCCCTCCCCCTCCCCTGTCTCTTCTCCACCGGTACCGCCCTTTGTTAAAACGTCCTGTCCAGAAGCTCCTGAGTCTATCTGTTCCTTTAGATTTTTAACTTCTTTTCCTGTGCAAGCATTCAACGTAGGAACAAAAGGCATGCTTGCAGTCATTTCTCTCTCTCTTTTTCCCCCTTGTTTAATGTGTCGGCCCCTGTCACAAAGCCTAGGAGACTGAGGAAATGTTTTTTTCTCTTCCACGAGAGCCGCACAACGGGGAATTTGGATCAGGTAGAGGACCGAAGAGGCATTTCAGGGAAATTCAAAGATTTCCGAGGAGCAAGGCCCTTGGGCTGGAATGCTGAGAACTCACCTCGGGCCTCTGCCTGGTGGACGAGTGGGGAGGGGTGTCGATTTGGCACTGGTGCGCGGTGACGTTTCTCCGGGAATTCCAGGTTAACATTCTCTTCCTGGGATCCAGCCTCAGGTTCATAACGGGAGATGCGTTTTCCTGTGCTGCAAATGAAAACAGAACAAAATAAAACATTCTCCGAGGAACACACCCACTTCCCCTCAGGGCACGTGATTACCACAAAAGGGAGGCATTTTTCAAAGTGTCGGAGATGGATTGGAATGGTTTTGTTGGGTTTTTTTTCTTTATTGAGGCCAAATTCTGATAAGGTACAAGGGACCGGGTTGAAGTGGGAAATTTGGGAATTTATAAGCATGAGAAAGGTTCTCCAAGGCACTTGTCACCGGGGAATGCAGAGGATACCTGGAGGAGGAGACCCTTCACCTCCAGGACCTCAGCTGTGATAACCACCATTTTAACAAATGGGAAACAATTATTAGGCACCATGTGGAGACATTGCAATTGACTGTACACTGTGGGCGGGTACACGGAGTGAGCTATGACTCTGCTCACCTTGTATTTTGTGTGTGTGTGCGAGGTGTGATTGCATTTATGTAGCCTATACATTACGATGCATAGGTTAATCCACACGGAGACTTCTCTTTACATTTTGCATTGAGACATCACGGACACGTAACATTGTATCGGTGTGAGATGCACCAATTCTCGGTTTGCTGATTGTGTGTGTGCGTATGTGTGTGGCGGGTGTATACACCCAAGTGCAGAAGCGGTCCCAGAGTCTCGTCAATCCACCACTTCACAGAGTTGCAGAATTCTTTTTTTCTGAGGATGAGAACTTTTAACGTCTGCTGCCTGAGCAAGTTTCCGACGTATAGTGTGACATCGTCACCATACTGTAGCAGCTACAGTCACTGCCTCACATCCCCGGGACGTATTTTATTTGGGAAGTGAGTACCATTTGCCTCCTGACACCCACCCCCCCCCCCGAGTTCTGCTGTGAGTGGGCAGGTTGCCTTCCGGGCCTTTATCCCCTGTGAGCTGGGGTCCCGGGTGGAGGAGGGCGTGGACCACAAAGGGGTTTTCAAAGGCAAATACAGTGACAACGATGTCCAGTGCCAGGCGGGTGACGGGAACATCGGGTGTGGGGAGGGCACACTTTGGACATCACATCAGCGTGTAACCTCTGCCAGGTGCCCGAAAGTAACACACCGTCATATCAAACGTCAACTCTAATTGAAAAATAAAATGAAAAGATAAATAAAACTGAAGAGCCGATAAAAAATGCTAAAAAAAAGGGATGTTTAATTCTTTTTTAAACCCAGAAAACTGGGGCTGGAACTCTCTCCAATTCCTCTCTTTTCTCAGAGTTTCCCTCTGTGTCCTTTCAGGATGGATATGACTTTTTCCAATGGATCGATGCACCTGTGGGCAGGTGTGGGGAGCACCTGTCAGGGGAATCCCAGAACACCCGTGTCCTGTGGGGAAAGGCGCCGGACTTCAGCGGCACCCGCGGCGCACCCAGCGCAGGGCGTGGGCAGTTACAACCCCAGGGACAGGGACGGGGACCTGCCGTTCAGGCTGGGTGCTCTGTCAATGCCAAGACGGTTGTCTCCCTCCGCCGCCCCTGTGGACAGCTTTTCCCCATTGGCAAGACACTGAGCTTCCTAAGGGTCCCGCCGTCCAGGCGGCAGGTCTGACCCCCGGGGCTGCGTTGGTGGTGTGGGGTTTGCAGCTGCAGCCGGGACCTTGCATGAGGGATGAAAAAGCATGTATGTCCAGAGTGATCAGCACAGGGAGGGGCTGCGGGTCACGGCCCGTTGTCCCCCGTTCGGGAGTCGGGGACAAACTTGCCTGCACCTACCCAGGAGGGGGTCCGCGCAGTGCGCTGAGGTCAGCGGCACCACCAGGAGGCTGGCGAAGCCCAACAGGAAGGCCATGTCTGTCCCCCCACTGGACCTGCACCTGCAAAGAGGAGACACCCTCAGTTAGAGACCAGACTGCAAGGGAGGCAGGGGCCCTCCACTGCTCAGCACACTCCGAGGTCATCACAGGGCTCTTTGGGCTCCTGCCCTGGCCGTCTGTCCCTAGTCCCGCATCCCTGGCCACCAGATTCCTCTCCCCCATGCGCTGAGAACCCTAGTGTCAGCTGATCTTCTCGTATGTAGTGGCTGAAACATGGGAGCAGGGAGGCCGCCAGTGGGAAAAAGAAGGGAGATGTGATGAGGGGGCAGGTGCACAGCAGCCACTTTGCACTATGAGGCACCTCTGTCTAGTGCTGCCCGGTACCCCTGTGGTCTGTCATTTTTTGGTCCCCACAAAGGTCCCACCATCACGCCAGGGGAAAAACTATGTCCTAGGCAGGTCACTGGCCTCTGTGTCCTTGTGGTGAGTAGTGTGGCCTGGAGGAGCTGGGGGCAGGCTGTGTTGCAGAAACTGCGATGAAGGCAGCCTCGTGAGATGGGGCGGCCCCCTGGAAGAAGCCACTGATTGGCCAGGTGCAATAGGAGCCGAGAGGCCCTGACCTTTAGGGAGCTGTGGAGTGACCTTGGCTCAGAGCGTTTGGGGGAGGGTCAGTGGAGGTCAGGCTGCCTGCGGTGTTTGCAGAGCGGAAGGGGCGGGAGGCGGCAGGTGTGCAGAAACCCTTGCCTTTCAACAGCAGATGCCGCCGAGGGGCTGAGGAAATCTCTCCAGCTCTGGTGATCGAAAGGGGCAGCCTTTTGCTCATTTCAATGGATTTGTTCCTAACGGTAACTGCATGACTTTGTCAGGGCTAGATACAAAGTATCGGGGACAGCTTTGCTGCTAAACAGACATCTCCCGGCGGGGAGGCTGCAGGTGACCTGGCTGAGAATGGGACACCTTCGCACAAAGGGCCCGGCCCGGCCAGGAGGCCGCCAGCCACTCAGGGGTCACGGGCCCCCAGGACACCGGATCCATGCTGTTGGGGGGACAGCTGCCAAGCTCCTGAGACAAGACACAAATGTACCACCCTGCCTGGCAGGGACAGGTAAGCTCGGTTCTGCTCTGTGTCTCCTCAGTGCGTGAGGAGTCTTTCTAGATGGGACGGAACCCGGCAAGAGTCTGGGACAGGGCCGGCCAGAGCGTGGAAGCGGGGGAGGAAAAAATCTCCTGTCTGGCATCTTCCGTTCTGTGCCAGGTGCCTGCAAATAAAACGGATAAAAGATGGACAGAAAAGCTAGCTTTCATGACGTGATGGTCTCTTGAGTTCTCTCTCTCTCTCTCTCTCTCTCTCTCTCTCTCTCTCACACACACACACACACACACACACACACCCAGTGAGACTCCGGGAGGTGGCCAGTGGAGGGAGCCCTGTATTGTATCTCCAGGGCGAACACAGGAAAAAGGGTGTGGGCTTGTGGGTGGCGTGGGGAGGGAGGCCGGGGGCAGAAGTTCGGGAAGAGTGGGCTTCTGCTGCTGCTGATAAGCGTCCCTGTGAGATACGATCTGTCTGCAGCCTCACTGAAGCTCAGAGGTGTCTTTACAACTGAGTTTCCTTTCCCAAGGCAAGGAAAGGGTTATGGTTTGGGTCTGTTCGGGCTGCGGCAGGAAGGGACCGGGCTGGTTTCCCGTGGGCTGTAGGTCAACACCACCCAGGTTCCAAAGATGTGTGTTTCGGGCTGGGTTCGGGTCCCCTGGAAGGCTGAGCGGGTGGCCGGGGAGGGGAAGAGCTCCCATCTCAGAGACCCCCGGGGTCCCCTCAGTGGGAGGAGAGGGTGCACAGAAGGCCCCCCGAGACAGATGAACCGGTGGGGGGACGCCCCTCACCACCCCTGTGCTCCACCTCTGGGGACGATGGCTCACAGCGTCCAGTTTTCTTTAGGGGGAGTCCGCACTCTGGGAACTAGCTGGCACCCCTGCAACCCTTTAGTCCCCATGTCCCTGTGTGTGTCTGCTTCGCCTCCTGCTGTCCCTCACCTAGGAAGGACAGACAGCTCGCCGTAGGATCGATGCGGCCGAGTCACAGAAAAATAAAGCTGGGTGTGTGTGCATTTCTGCGCTGGATACTCCGGGGACAGGGCAGCCCCGTCCAGAGGCCACACCAGGTGACAACTCTGCCCCCCAGGGGACCCCAGGACTCTGCCTTTTACATGTAAACAGATTCTGTTCCCTTGAGCCGATGACATGTCCGTCAGCTGTCCTGACGGCCTCCTTCTCTCCCTCTCTCTTTCTCTCTCACTTAAGGGCGGTGATTCTTGCTTTTCCCTCTTGGCCCCAAGCCCACAACCACCCTGGGAAAAACCTGCTGCTGGACTCTCGGGTGGTTGCCAAGTGCTTGCCCACGTGTGGGCACTGGTCGCGGGCACCTTCATGGGGGGCACGGCACGGTGAACCCCCTGCTTTCTGCCTCGCAATGATCCGCCCCTGCAAATCTGACTCCCACACATTTTATCCCAATGTCCTCCCTCCTGACCTGTGTTGGCAACTCCTATGTTATCGGCTCACCGTGTGTTCCGAAGGCTTCAAACAGTATCACCAGAACCTGCACCACACGGGAAATATTTACACCTAATTAAACAGGTTCCTTTGATTTATTTTTAATTCTGGCATCAGGGTCTGTCCTTCCTGTGGGTCCCCAAATCTGTGTCCCTGTCCTTCGGTGGCCTGTCCCTTGTCCCCGGCTGCCGAGCAGATTCTGATGCTGGCCGGCCGTCGGAGGTTTGGGACACCTGCGCCTGGGTTTTTTTTTACCTGTCACCTGTTCTGTTCGCTTCCAGGGTCAAGGCCGCCCAGCCCTGGGGAAGCAGGTGGGAGCCGCACCAATGCCCCAGACCAACCTGTCACAACTTGGATGATTGCAAAGCACCCAAAAGAACTACCTTGTGGCAGGTGAGGGTACCCAGGTGGCAGGTGTGATTCCTCCAGACGGGGGTCCGTGGGCACCCGGCCACGCCTGCTGAGCGTGTTACAAAGTGACGCAGACACAGAAGCCTGCCGCCCCTGTTGCCCCTGCCCCGGCCACGTTGGTGACAAGCCCAGTGTTCCTCTGTCCGGCTTTGCCTGAGGGACCCACAGAGCGGGGTTGTCCCTCCTGTGCAAAGCCCACCGTCCCCCACAACCTTGCCCACATGTATCGAGAAGTCCACTTACTGGCTGATCCACCTGGTGAGTCTTCTCTTGGACTGTTTCCAGGGCTTGTGGGAGGTGCTGCTGTTTCCAATTCTGGGCCAGTTCTGGAGGTGACCGCCTGTACCCACGTCCCCAAGGGTCCTGGAGGCAGCCCGCGGGGTTTCGGCCACAAGAAGAAGCAGAAAGAGCTGCTTCGGCTTCTCTTATTTGGGAAGAAAGTAGTTCCCACCTGGTCAGCCCTCCGAGCATGCGCGATCTACGGTCCGGCTCGCCTTGCGCCCCAACTTGCAGCCCAGCGGCCTTACCGTCTCTGCAGACGGGAAGTCCTCGAACCGCACCGGCTGCTGGTTTCCAGGCCCTTTTCTTTATCTTCACCTCGGGTTCCCCTTTCTGTAGCTCAGTCCGTCTTGTCCACTCAGTGGGGGGCGGGGGTGACTCCTCAGTGTCCGGTTTTGTACCTCTGGGCCCGGCCGGTGCCCGCCCACGCCCCAGGCAGGGAGGCAGGATCTGCATGTCCCTGCCTCGTGACGACCTCACAGAGCCCCCCCCCCGGTGCTGACGGATGGGGTCCTTCTAGGCGGGGGACCCTGTCTCTTGCTTCCTGCCTGACAGCCGTATATTCGGGGCCAAGCTGGAGAGTCCCAGGAGGCGCCCTGGGAGAATACTGCACACCTGGATCGCAGGTGGGTGTGGGGACCCGCCCCGCCATGTCCTGCAGAAGCGTGACATGCTGAGTCTCCCTCCTGATTGTCCTCAAAGACCAGGCCGTGGACCAGATGGGCTGTTACGCACCTGCCGACGATGCGTCCCCAGCCGAGGGCTCAGCCCGGCTGTCCATGGGCCCACCACTGCCTGGTTTCATGCCCCACCACTGTTAGATCCGTATGGTTTATTTTGAGACTGGGTTGATCTTTTTCCGCCCAAACGCAGCACAAAGGGGAGGTTTTTAGGGCCCGGGAGAGCCGCGAGAGGGGGTCGTCTGCTTTGACCTGGAACGGGGTGTACATCTTGAGCCCGGTCCAGCGACATTCTGGGGGTTCGGGTGGGAGACCCCCAGTGTGACCACCGGGTGGACGGGATGATGGGGCTGGAGGTTCATAGTCAGGGTGTTCATTTGTAGACTCCATCAGTATGGACTATGGATCCGTGCTGAACAGGACATGGGAGACAGAGGACAAAGGAGGGAAAGAATGACCAAAATCTTACCACGGGCAACAGCGTGGACAGACCTACAGGGAGCACGGTGGTCACTGAAGGGAGCCAGGCAGAGGAAGACAAATGCCACATGAGCTCACTTGTATGAGGAGTCTAAACAATGACAGCATCCAAACAGAAAGAGACTCATCCACACAGAGAGCAGAGGGACGGCGGCCGCAGAGAAGGGGGGTGGGGGACGGAGTGAAAACCGAGAAGGAGTGGAAAAGTACACGTTGTCATCGCAGATTGTCACGGGGACGTACAGTCCCGCACAGGGGACAGAATCTGTACTATTGTGGTAACTCCGTGTGGGACCAGGTGGGAAACATCGGGGGATCACTTTATAAAGCGTGCGGTTTTCTGACCACTATGCTGTGCCCCCGACACTCACAGAAAATAATACTGAACGAAAACTAGCATGGAAAAAATGTAAACGGTGAATTGAAAAGAAGCCCAAGATCAGCATGATTTATGATGAAAAAAAACTGTCAGTGACTAGGAATAGAAGTGAAATTCCTCACCTTACAAAGTCACCTCCACAGGTCTCCAGGGGATACGAGCCCTCTGTGCCACATAGCAGCGTGGGAGTGCATCTCACAGACGTACCACTGAACAGGCTCCCTGCCGTGGGACATCACCCATGAGACCTGACCCTGTGCTTGTCCTCTGTGAGGACAGCAGCCCACCACAAGGGCGAGACTCACAGAGTTAACAGAACTCACAGGAAGCCCCGTCTGATGGACATGAGGGTGTCCTACCGGGCACAGGGGCGCCAAAGCTCCCGGGACCATGTGATCCGAACGGGCCTGTTTGTGGCTTGCAAACCACGTATCCATCTAGGACATGTTTCCAGGGCTTTGGAGGGACACAGCCCCGCCCTGCAGGACTGTGGGGTCCCACGCGAGGTGGTGGGTGACCCACCAGAGGGAGGAACACAGGGCGATGGACATATACGCATGGTGACTTGGAGTTTCCACATTCTGTGCCACTCTTGTGACTGGCCCCACCACCCACAGAAGGCAGCGGGCGTCCCTGCGATGGGGGTCCCCCCCTGCCCGGTCAGGAGGCTCTGTATGTGGGTGTCACAGGGAGGAAGGGACCCTGGGACCCTCGGGCCAAACAGGTCCGTTGGCTCCACTTGCATCAGAGTGGAAATTTTGAGGGAGAGGGAAGAGAGGAAGAAAGAAAAAGAGGAAGGTGAGATAGATTATGGGCAAGATAGGCAGACAGATGACTAGACCGATGATGGATGGATGGATGAGCAGATACAGACATCATGAATGGATAGATGATAGATGGATAGACACATGGGGAATAAACAGATGAACGGATGGATGATGTATAGATGGATGGGTATATAGATGATGGATGTATAGATGGTGGACGTATAGACAGATGATGGATGGAGAGGCAGGTGGATGACAGAAGAGTAGCTGCAATAGTTATAAGCCCAGAGGCAGGGGTAGAACCGTGTGGCACGCCCCTCAGAGGAGCGATGGTGTTCCCTCTCCTGGCGGCCTCACGGCATCACCGACGGCCCTGGCACGAGGGGGGCAGGAAGCTCTGAGCACTGTGAGAGGGCAGGTCTGTGCCGCGCGGTCACTAACCACGTGGCACCTCTGCCGTGAGCAGGGGACAGTCTCAACCTGGGTGAAGCACAGCTGGAGACGGGGGGGGGGGGGGGAAGGAGAGGGAACAAGTTCTGACAGGGGACGTCGAGGTGTCCTGGCCAGCAGGGCGGCGGCCACGAGCGGGGGCCACATCTGACCTACTCGAAGTAAGATCTAGCTCTTTCTGGGGGGCGCAGAGGCCGGAAGTCTTCATTGGAAGGCCACTGCGCAATCCCACTAATGACAAGCACCTTTGTAAAAGGCCACTTAAAAAAATATATTGTTTTGCCATTCCAGTTGTCTTCATTTTTACTGATTGACCCCTTCAGTTCCACCAAGGGTCAATGCTCCGTTGTCCGTGGGTCCTTCGTACATGCTCCTTGAGTTTTCTTCTTCCCCTTCTTTTTCTCCCCTTCCCCCCTGGTCACTGCCAGTCTGGTCCCTCTTTCCACATCTCTGGTTCTGTTTAGTTCATCAGTTTGCTCTCTTCATTAGGTTCTACTTATAGGTGAGTCCACATGGTACCTCGTTCGCTGTCTGGCTTCTTCCACTTAGCACAAGAGTGTCCAGTAGGAGGTGCGAGGCTACAGTATTGTGCACGCACCCAATAGCACAGGAAGGCCCCGTTCAAGGAAAGGGGAAGTGCTGCTATAAAACAACCCAGCACACTCTGGAGGAACCTGCTCAACACAGTCCGTGGAGCCACTTTTATAGACACAAGTCCCTGCCCCCAGTCCCTGATTGGTCTGTTTTCATGCAAATGAGGACTCCAACTTCTTGAAGTGTGATTGGTCCAACAGGCCCTGTCCTGATTGGTCATAAATGAGCCGCTCTGATTGATTGGTGAAGATGACAATGGGGGGGGAAAGAGTATGGCTGTGCAGCTCTGATTGGATGGGTGGATGGGAAAAACTCTTAGTCCTATTGGTTAAAGCAGGATCCTGGGCACTGCTTTATTAGGGCTGCTCAGTGGGCGGGACCCAGGGCTGTGCAGGCATCTCTGTGAGCTACCAGGAGTCCTTCTCGGTAGGTATTTTTTTTCTTTTTTCTTAAGATTTACAAGCCAAAAAAAAAAAAAAAAAAATACGGAGATGTATTCGTGCTCCACGCAATGGAACACACAGACCATTTCAGAACGATTCACGGCCGACATTGTGCAAGGCTCACACGCTGACCGTGGACTCTCTGACTTCTTGCACGGTCAGGATGTCCTCGCCGTCCGCTTTCCCCGGGGCTGCTGGGATTTTGTCCCACATGATCTGCGCAGGGGAAAGACAAGGAGCGTGTCAGGTGTTCCAGGGTCTGGGGAGCGGCGGTGGCGCTGCACACAGACACCCCAGGCCGATGGGCTGGTGGCTGCTGCGTGACTAGTACTCCTGGGCGAAGCCCCCCGTGCGTGGCAGATGTGAGGTTGCATACGGCACGTGCAAAGGTCCTGGGGCAGGACGGAGCTCGGGCAGGAGCACAAGGGGAGTGGCTCAGCCTGCAGACATGAAAGGGAGCGGGACCCTGCAGATCCCCCGGGAACCAGGAGCCAGGAGGGGGCCAGGGCGTGGAGTCCTGATGGGGAAGTGAGTACCGTCCAGCGCAAGGGTGGGGTGAGCAGGTGGCCATGCCACTGTGGGAAAGTCCACTGTGGGGCGGCCACGGGGCACAACAGAGTCACCTCAAGAGCAAAATGAAGTGCCCACTCCAGAGACAGGGATGCATGAGGTGTCGGGAGTGACAGATGTTTGTCTTGCGTCACTACCCCTGCGCACATCCTTCAAGAGACCAGGGCAGGCCCCCATCTGTCTGTCTGTCTGTCTGTCTGTTTCCCCAGTTACCGTATTTTGGCATGCATAAGGGGCACCCACGTTTCTGGGTGCATTATACACGAGATTATTATACCCATGGTAAGTAATCATTACACCCGAGTATAATGTGCACCGACCGTTATTTTTCCCTGAAAAATCTGGGTCAGAAAGTGACTATCTTACGCAGCAATGTACAGTAGCTCTCCAAGAAGACTTAACCCCTGACGCCGGGACCAGGCCACCGAGCCAGGACACGGCGTCCCAGCCACATGGTGCAGGCCCCGTTGGGCGGGCACAGCAGAGGGAGCTGATGGGACATTTCTGGGCTCACCCCACCCCCATACAAACCTCATCGTCATCCTTGTTCAGTTTGTCCTTGACCTGTGGAACTGGAGTCCCAACGAACCTGCCGTGACAAAAAAAAAAAAGTGTGAAGAGTGAATGGAGAAGATAATATTCCTCCAGAGCCCAGGGTGGACCCTCCGTTCCCCTCAGACGCTGGGGGTTGGGGGTGGGTGGCTGCTGGGCGCTGGGCTGGAGGCTGGGATGCCTGGCGGGCTGCTGGCAAGGGGGCTGGCTGTGCCAGACCCCGCAGTCTTAGGAAGGGTTATGGGGGGACGTGGACACAGACAGGGGTGCTGAGTAGCTTAAAGCATGACAGCGATGTTGTCAGCACCACCCAGCTCTGCAAATGACCGGGCTCTGGCCCAAGTGTGGGGCCCAGAGAGCAGCTGGCATCTGGACTGTGTGTCCAGGGTGCCCCTCAAGGACCAGAACATGACCTCCTTGGGGGCCGCCCCTGGCGAGGTGGCCACTGACCCGCAGACCCGGGGCAGCCTGGACTGTCCGCACGCGGCCTTCATCTTCAGAATGAGAATCAGCCCACTTTGGAAGGAATATCCCGGAGGTACCCATGGCGGAGGGTGGCAGCCACCTGCGACCAGGGTTACCTTTTGAAGAGGTAGCCAAGCGTCAGGGCGCCGAGGAGGGTCCCCAGGATCACCAGCAGGTACACGTGCACCAGGCTGGGGGCCTGTTCTCGGGAGCCTGAGGACAGAGAAGGACACACGGGGACCCTCTGCGGTGACTGGTCCCTGCTCCTTGGCTGGCACACTCACATCGAAGTACATGTGCCCAGGGGGGACAGTCACCTACGAAAAGTAACTACTCCTGATGTGTTCTTTCTGTCACGGAGCACATGGTATCTCCTCGTATGTATGTGTTTCTTATTTTATTTTAATCCTCACCTATCAGTGTGTTTATTGCTGAGAAAGAGAGAGCAAAAAAAAAAAACTCACTTACTTCCCCTATGCGCCCTGACCGAGAATCGAACCTGCAACCTTTTGGTGCATGGGACGATGTTCCCTTCACCTGAGTCACCCCCTCCAGGGCTAATCTGTTCACGTTTAAAAATCCAGTCAAAGCCATCAACTCTGTAAGAATTCTCAAAACCGAACGGACTGTTTCGCGGTGTTGGAATATGAACATAAGATGTGCCTGATGACAAAAGTTATATATTATTTCTAAAACGGGCCTGTTTGAGCTGATGCGCTGATTGTGTGTGAACCAGTTCCCAGCTGCATGGTTAGAAATGTCTATTCTTTCTGATGCCCATTTTTTAAAAGATTTTATTTATTTATCTTTAGAGGAGAGAGAGAGAGAAATATCAATGTGTGGCTGCCTCTCAGGCGCCCTCTGCTGGGACCTGGCCTGCAACCCAGGCGCGTGCCCTGACTGGGAATCCAACTGCGATTCTTTGGTTCGCAGGCTACGCCGGCCAGGACTGCCCATTTTTAACCTATTTTTATATTGGGTTCTTAGTGTTTTTGTTGACAACATCTGAGATTACTTTCTACCTTTTGGGGACGCACCCCTTACGGGATACTTGACCTGCAAATGTTTTCTCTTGTTTAGTGGGTTCTCTTTTTCACTGCTTTGAGAGTGTCCTTGAGTGCACAAGTTTTTCATCTTTACAAACGCCAGTTGACCTGACGTTTTCTTGGTTGTTCTGGCTGTTTGGAGTCACACCCCAAAGTCCGCTGTTAAACCCCAGACCGCAGATGGATTCCATACTGCCCTGAGTGGTCCCTTCCAGATGCCCAAGTGTTGCTGGGCACACATTTCACACAAACTCTGCCCCGGAAGCCGTAAAAGCCATGCATCTTGGGTCAGGAAAAGGAAAAGAACCACCTGTCTGCCTAACAGTGTCCGCGGAACACGAAAATGTATCAAAATGTCCAGGCGGTGCGAGACCGCACACTTTCTAAGGGCCAGACTGGGGTCAGGGCGACATCCCGAAATTCTTAAGAAGTCGTAAAAGTTGGCTGGCGGCAGGAAGCCAGGGGCCTGGGGTGTTCATTCCGTTCCAAGAACGTCTCTGTTGGGGGAACCAGGCCCCATTTCGATGGGCACTGTCCCCTCACCGGGGACCAAGGCTGGGCCAGTGGGACGTGACCAGGATGGGCTATTTCCTCGTGGTGTGGGGGCTGGAAAAAGGAGGCTGTTTGTTCGCCCCTTCCTGTGGGGACGGAACACGGTTGGTTCACGATCCTTTATTAAGCGCCACGGGGGCCGAAGTGCACAAGTCCTTGCCACGCAGCAATTTCTCAGGCTCCTGGATTGATTGGTGCTGAGGTCAAGTCAGGGCGTGAGGGTTCCCGCCCGGGTGTGAGGGTTCCCCACCCGGCCGCGGGGGCACCTACCGAACTCGGCTGGAGGGCTCCAGGCGCCCCACTGAAGCACCCTGGTGTCTGCCGCTCTCATCTGGACCGTGTGTCTGGCTCTCGGCTGTGGGCTGGGAAAGTCGTACGCGTTCCCCGAGTCTCCAGAGAGCTCCACCTTGGCCGAGAGGACATAGTGAGAAAGCGCTCCGCTCCGGAGAACGCCAAGCGAGAGAGGCAGAACCGCAAAGTTGGAGGAGAGAAAGCTCGAAAGAGTCAGCGTCAGCGAGACAGTGACAGAACAGAAAAGGGAAGAGGGATGGTGATGCTTTCCAAGTTGCAAACAGGGAACGGACCGTAGAGTAAGAGCCACACTCTCTTTCTGCGTGAAACTCCTATGATCGAAGGAAAATGTTGCCAGCAAAGCGAAGCCGTTCCATCACCGTGTGGGGACATCAGCACCATGTAAAATCGCGCGCTTTGCAAAGTTCTGGCTTCCCTGCTGCACACTTGCGGGGGGGGGGAGGGGGCGCGCACTCAGCCTCCCACATTTATCCCTCCAGAGTCGCCACCGCGGGGCTGGCAGAAGTGCCCGTGTCCACGCAGACAGGTTTCCGCAGCGAACGCCACCGGAACGAGCCGCAGATCGGTCCCGTCCCTGGGGGCAACCGCGTGAGCATGGAGGTCAGCTTGCGCATGCCGTAGGGGACAGACGGTACCCCGGTCAGAGCAGCGGCAGGCGCGGACGGTGCCCCCGAGGCTCGCGGGGAAGCTGGGTGCCCACACGCGTCCGGACGCGAGGGAGGAAGTCATCTCCTCGCCGTTGGGAGGAATGGCCTCTTCTTGACCCGCATCCACCCGAAGGAGCAAGAGGAGGTGCACAGGCAGAGAGGGTGTGGGATCCAGTCCAAGAACTGGGACGTGGCGCGTGGGCAAAGGTGAGGCCCCACCCAGAGGGGGGTTCCCAGAAGGGCCCCTCTGTCCCCTTGACTACATGCCCCACCCCCCACCCCCGCGAACCGTGACTGACAGCCCTGCCCCACGCTGGCCACCAGGGGACCAGGTCAGCGTTTATTCTCTGTGCGTCTGACCAGCTCTGTTGGGGCTGCAAAGAGCGAGGGTTTCCGTCACACCGTTAACTCACCAGTTGGTTGTCACCTTGCTGCTCCTTGTCCTGGAAGGACGACAAGAAAAAGCGTTGCCCTTTCTCTATTGCAAAGGCATCTCTGAGGTCTGGTGTTGGGGGGGCGTGGCCGGGCAGCCAGGCAGCCACCAGCCAAGGCCAAGGGCAGGGTGGTTACCCGGGAAGGGAGTGCACGCGGACGCACGCGCCTGGTCCGCAGGACGTGAGCAGGCCTTGCTGGAGACCCCAGCGGGCGACGGGGCCTCGTTAAAACCCACGGGGACAGGGAGCAGGGGGTCGCTCCTGGTCTCCCCTGCGTGCAGGTGGAACACGCATCTGCTGCCGCCCTCGTCTGTGCGTCTGCCTCTGAATCTACTTTCAGGGACGCTTCTTTCTGTGGTGGTCTTTGTGTGGCTGTTGCTCCGCCAAGCACGCTAGTCCCCTGCATGGGTCCCCGATGCGCCCCCCCCCAGACCTCCCACGGGGCCCTGGGCGCACCGTCCGGCTCTGTGCGCTGCGCGGCCCTCGCTCACCTGCCTCTGGATGTGCAGCTGGTACTGGAAGTCCCTGTCGGACGTGCTGAGGTGGCTCCTGGGCCTCTCCCAGCGGATGAGGCAGTGGGACGCGTTGCAGCCCACGGTGATGTTGCTGGGCGGGCTGTGCACTTCTGTCGGGAGAACGCAGGGGGCGCCGCTGAGCAGGGGCGGCGGTGCGGCCCCGGAGCGCAGACCGTGGCCGTGAATGAGAGAGACCCTTCCTGCCAGACGGTCTCGGAGGGTCCCCTTCTGCGGGTCCACAGGGGCGTGGGCGTGCCTTCGTGTTGGCACTTGGGGGAGGGGATTAGCTGGTTGCCCTGTGCTGAGGACAGGCGGTTGGGGTCTGGGGGCCTCGGGAGGGACCTAGCGGAGCATGGAGTGGTCAGGACAGAGGCTCATGGGGTCACGGGGTGGCTCCAAGCTTCAGAGGCGAGAGGCAAAGTGTGGGGCCAGGGAGCCTGTGGGCAGACACAAGGTGGGCTTTGCGAGACAAGAGCGTGGAAGGCCTGTGGGAGGGTCCCCGAGAGGCCCTCCTGGGACACGTGCTGGGTAAAAAGGAGCTGGGAAACTAGACACAGCAACCAAAAACACCCCCACCCCCTCCCTGTGGCCTGAGATGGGGGCGTGAGGGCTCCCTGCAGGGTTCTGGGTGGTAAGGAGAGGCAGGCGGCCCACCGGCCATTGTGGGGTGACCCAAAGTGAGGGGCGGGGGGACCCAGGGTCCACAGCGGGGCACAGTTTCCCAGGGGGCCTCACACACCCGTCTGAGCCGACCCCGCGGCGGCCCTGCCCCTGAGTCCTTCTTAACAGACTGTTTTGATGTTTTAATGTATACGTATTTATTTTTCATTTCAGAGAGAGAGGAAGGGAAAGAGAGAGACGAGCAGAGCAACATCGACCTCAGAGGAAAACATCCATCCACTGCCTATGGTCTGCTCCCTGACCAGGGACTGAGCATGTATTCTAGGCTGGGAATTGAACCTGCGACCTTCTGGTGCACAGGGATGACGCTCCTACCCATCCAGGCACCCGGCCACCGTCAGACGGGTCTGTAACGTGCACCGCGGTGTCCTCGGTAAATGTGGCAGCGGAACAGAAAGGGACTCATAGACACAGAGCACAGACACCTGGTTTCTGGGTAGGGTAGGGACAGGGTGAGGGTTGGGTATGGGGGCTGGGTGAGCAAGGGAAGGGATTAGTCAGTACCTGTTGGTACTTGTCTGGATTCCATTTTAACTGGTGACCAGTGAGCTCCCCACCCAGTGACCTGGCTGGTCATTGGAACCATGTAAGGTTGTGTTTTTACAACATGGCCAAGTACGGCGCCCTGTTGGGGCTGAAGACCCCGTGGAATGCACGTCGGCCTTGGGGAGCTCTGGTCACGTGTGAGGCACCAGACGCTGTCCCTCAAACCCTGGATTTCTACACTCAGAACAAACAGTGCGCCCTTCTCCCTGAACCTCCACGGGCTCACTGCCCTGGACGCTCCATGAATCCCGTCCTTGTGCGTTTTCACAAAGGCTAAATTGCGTTCGCAAGTCGATGAAATAACTGACTGAATTCGGTCTGCAGCCCCTCCCTGCCTACCTTGACGTCAAGGCGGAACCTTCCAGCTCTCTAATCACATGATTCCCCCACACACACACCCGTGTTGACCTGCCCCAGCTTCTAGAGCCTTTGCAAAGCTCACCCCATCGACCCGACTAAAGACACCGCTCTCCCTCTCTCCTGACCGGAAATTCCAAGCATTTCAGGAGCTCCGGGCCAACTACAGATGTATTATTCTAGATTGCAAAATTACAGCATTAGATTTCCAGTTAATATTTGGATGTCTGGGCTTGCGTAAAAATGTCGCAAACAGGGGGAAAGAGCACAGAGATTCTTGGCCGGCCAGTTAGCTGAGCCCCTTTCGGCTGACCCCGTGGGGAAGGCGGATAGACAGAGGCCGGCTTGCTCGGTCTACCTGACCCCTGGCCAGGCGTGTACGGCAGGAGGGTCCGACACAGGTGAGCCTGCAGGTGGCGAACCCAAGGGCATGAGCAGAGTTGGCATTGAGTGGATTTCCCTGCGTTAAACCTGCCACTCCGCTTCCCTGTGAATGTCTAACGCACCTGCCACTCCGGCAGGGAGTGACAAGGACCAGGGAGTGGAGGACTCTGAAGGGGGATGTCTAGAGCGGAGACCGGATGTCACGTGGGGACTCTGTGCAGGGTCCGGTGTAGCATCTGCCTGCTTCTCCTGGGGGCTGCATGTCTAGCTCAGGGAGACATTTCATTGCATCCCCCGAGTCAGGTAAGACTCCTGGCACGTAGGGCACCCTTTTGTCCTGGGGGTGGGGTGGGGGGCTTTGCTGTTGACTGCAGGCAACCCCCCGAGTGTCCAGGGCATACCCAGGGGCACGGGGGCCGTAGAGGGGCCTTTGCTTCCTCTGTGGGCCACCAACAGCAGCATGTGTCCCGTGTTCATGTCAGAATAAAAGCCGAGGGGACACCTTGTCTTTGCAGCGTGTTCCGAGTCTGAGGCCCCGTGGTTCCGTACAATCAGAGGGAACAAGCCAAGAGGAAGCCTAAACTTGGCAGGCCCTGAAAGGAGCAACTTCTACTATTATACGTCAACCTATTTGGAAACGGGGTCTTTCCAGATGAGACTGAACAAAAGATGTGATATGAGGAGGACCTGGGTCAGGGTGGCCCTGCGTCCAGTGACAGTGTCCTGAGAAGGGACAGAAGAGGAGACGCAGACTCGGAGGAGAAGCCACGTGGAGACGGAGGCAGAGACGAGAGGGACGTGGCCACCAGCCCAGGGACGCTGGGAGTCCCAGGAGCTGGAAGAGAGGGAAGGACCCTCCCTGGAGCCTGTGGAGGAAGCCAGACCTTGGAACACCTGGATCTCCAGGGTGGGATGAGAAAAACTGTGCATGTTTTGAGCCTGCAGCCTCTGGCCAATTTTTTACCTGCATCCGACAGGAAACAGAGGCAGATTCTACCGCCAACCGCATCTGACACCGATCTCATGGCGGGTGCCGCTTCTCACCTATTTTCTTCAGCAGCAACATGGCATCAAAGAACTGGATCCCTGCTCTCTCACTGGAGCCGTTGACCAGGACGTAAGTTTGGTGACGCAACTCGGAGACAAAGTCCAGATGGCATCCCACGTGGGTCCCTGCCTCGGGCGCGTAGTGCCGACATTGTCTCTCGGTTTTCCTCCTGCAAGAAGCCCCAGGGGTGAGACAGCAAGCAGGACACGGCTCTTTTTCTTCCTTTGCCGTGTTTGTCACGGGCATGTCCGCCAAGGGAATGCTTACTTTGAGTCTCGGATGTACAGAAAATACTGGACGTCGTCGGGGGCCGCTTGGCCCTTTGCCCACGTACAGTTCATGAAATCTGCGTTGTAGATGAAGCAGGAGAAGTTTTGTGCAGCTGTTTTGTTCCCGCCTGGAGACAGACAAAAAGCAAAGGAATTTGCACCTGAAGGGGGAAAAAAGGGGTCGACCAGATGGCTTCAGGGTTGGTCTGTCCACCTAATCACCAAAGATGCGGTCATTCCAACTCCCTTTAAACTCTTCCAAAACATCATAGAGGGAGACCTGCCGCACTCGGAAAGGACAGCGTCAGCCTCACATCAAAGTCAAACGAGGTTCAGGACCAGAACTATGCCTGATAAACCGTGACATCGAGATGCTCCGCAAAATACCAGCCTGCTGAAGAATGGGAGAAAATGTTCGTCCATCAAGTGTTAGGGGCTAGTCCTCAAGGTACATAAGGAACTTAAACAACTCGAGACGAGAGAAAACAAGGAATAAAACACCCAAATAACTGGACTGCAAAATGTACAAAGGACATTTTTTTTCAGAGAAGGCCTAAAGGTGGGTAACAGGCAGGGCTGGCCAAAAAGTTTGTTTCGGCTTTTTGCGTAGGACGTCTCCGTTCTGTTTAACTTCATTCGAAAGAATTTTGTTAATATGTATTGTGACAGCTGTCATCTCAGTGTGCATTTTAAAAAAAAACATCCAAATGGGTGAATGTGCAGCTATTTCAACACTGAAGATGGAAGGAAGCTACACAATGTTTTGAGAAAGGTAACAATGCAACAGAAATGCACAAAAAGACTTGTGCCGTGTACGGGGAAGGTGCGGTGACTGATCGCACGGGTCAGAAGGGGTGTGTAAAGTTTCCTGGTCCTGTGGACATCTGTGTCAAATAATTCTGTGCCGTGGGCTTCTCTTAGGCATGGCGAGATGTTCAGCAGCACCCTTGGCTTGTCCCCACTAGAAGCCACTAGCAGGAGATTGTCCACATCCTCAAAATATCCCAATCAATAAAGTTATAGGTGAAAATGAAAAGCGTGTCTTTGATTCTACGGAAAAAAACTAAGCTTACTGTTTGGCCAACCCGACACCCAGAGAAGGTGCCCAGCGTCACCCACCGCCATCAGGGCAATGCAAACGGCAACCACAGGGAGATGTTCCACCTCACACCTGGTGGAGGGACCTTGACCTAAGGCCAGGGGTCACGAGTTCTGGGGGGCACGTGGAGGGTCGGCGACCCTCGCGCTGTGTGGGTGGAAGTGCCATTTGGTGTGGCCTCGTGTTTGGGGGAACAAGGCACTTCCTCCAAACAGTAAAAATAGAACTCCCATATGATTCAGCAATCTCAGTTCTGGGTAGTTAGTTGCAGAAAACAGGATCCAGCCCTTGAAGGGATTTTTACTGCAGAGTTCTTCACAGCAGGGAAGAAAGGGAGAGAAAGGCGTGGTCCGTGGACGGATAAGTGGGGTCCAGAAAACGTGGTAGATGCCTGGCCAGGTGGGCTCCATTGGTGGGGCATCGTCCCATTCACCCAAAGGTTCTGGGTCCGATTCCTGGGCAGGATACACACCTAGGTTGCTGGTTTGATCCCCGGTCGGGGTGCATAACACAGGCAACCAAATGATGCTTCTCTCTCACAGCGATCTGTCTGTCTCTCTCTCTCACCCCCTTCTCTCTGTCTAAAATCAATAAACACATGCTTGAGTGAGAATAAAATAATGTGGTAGATGCCTAGGATGAAATACGACTGAGTCACGAAAAAGGAGAGACAGCTATTTGGGATGCAGTGGATGGACTCGGAAAGCATCGCGCTCGGAGAAATAAGTCAGACTCAGAAAGACAAATAGTGTTTGATCTCCCACACGTGGAATGTCAAACAGTCGAACTCCCAGAACCGGAAAGTAGAACGACAAGGCAGGGAAGAGGGACTGGGGGACGGGAAGATATCTGTCAAAAGGAACAACTGCTCCCTGTTGCAAGAGTGAATATGTTCTGGATACCTCGTGGGGCCATCTCGTTAACATTCACCTCTCGTTCCCTTGAAACTAACTACGGGAACAGACATCCAGTGTCCTCTGCACTAAAAAAAAATCAATCAGTCGCAGCAAGAAAAGGGCTGGTGTGATTGTGGAAATCATTTCACAGTGCACACACATAAATACATGCAATCCTTGTGTTCCAGTCAGCTCTCAAGAGAGGTGAACACTGAGGCACCCACTTTGATGCCAGCAGGGTGGAGAAGGGTCTGAGTGACCTCGTTCCTACCTGGGTTCATGTAGAGCAGTTTTTCTGTAATCTGCCTCTGGCCGATATTGACTGTCACTGTGAATGTGGCGCCCTTGTGGAGAAGACGGTCTTGAAATGAGCATTGGCAAGCATTCTTCCGGAGCTAAAGAGATTGCAACCAGCCAGCGAATTAGAAAGCAGGCTTGTCTCCTCTGCTCAAGACCCTGATGGCTCCTACCTCAGCTCCGGGACATCGTCTTCCTCCCTGCATCAAACACCCCACCCCTCATATGCCTTCTCTGGGTGTACGTCCACACGCCACCTGGCAGGTGGGACCTCAAGTTCATACCCTAGGGCCACGTTTAGAACGTCCGAACAGCACCCACGTCAGCAGTGATCTCCTGGACATGTCCATTCTAGTTCAGCGAGTGCCAGGCATGGCCTGAGGTTCTGTGTCTCTGATAAGGTCTCTGGAGATGCTGACTGTGCCCCCAACGTGAGTAGGGACATCTTGCATCACTTTAAATGTCACGGAGCCCCACGTGCCCTCTTGGATGTTTTTGCATTTTCTTGTCCTATTGCATAGTCCACAGCTTTGCCCAGGCTTCCCGTCTACACTGTACCCAAATGAGGCTGCTACTTTGTTTCCGTTCACCACTCAGGGTCAATGTTATTTGTTTCTCAGGGCTTGCTCTGGGTAATCTGGGATGGATCCAGCCAACGAAAGGCCGGTGGTTCATGAGGGCTGGCGGCCTGTTTCTCTGAAGGGCTGCAAGTGACCGAGTGAACCATGGGTCTCCCCGCCACGACCGTGGTTGGGGATGTCTGCTCCCTGAAACTCACCCCTGGAAATTCTGGGAGCATTCCAGGGCCCATCTGGGGTGTCATGCTGCTGCTCCGGGTCCCCTCTCTTGCCAGCCAGCCCCATCTCCCTGTCCTTGGGTGGCTAAGGGTCCCCAGGGTGCCACCCATCTGCCAGGTCCAGCCTCTTAGAAGTTTGCAGCTGCCCCTCATTTGCTCCTGTTACTGGGCACTTAGCGTGAGAGCTGTTGAGGGCATTCCAGTGTCTTCCAGAAAGTGTGTCTGTCATGCCCGCCCGTGGCTGACCTGGCGCGGTGTGTGTGTAGGCTGCCTGGTGTGGCGTGCCCCACCCCGCTTACCCTCATTGTCAGCATTCCCGTGTCCTTGCTCGTCATGCCACACGCGACGGCCGTGACATTCTGTGTGCAGTTCCAGGTTAAGGTCATTCTCCTCGGGTCGAACTGCAGGTTCACACTGGGGGTGGATTCTACGGTGGGCAGACCTGCAAGGCGTGGGCGCCAGATTCCGAAATCACTCTTCCCTCGTGTCTGCGCCCCACGACCTACCCGTCCTGCATCTCGTGAGCGGACGCCAGGGTCGGGGCTCACCAGCCCCCTTTCATGAGATCAACCCCTGGTCTCGCCGTGAGCTCACGGATTTTAGGCCAGACCGTGGTTCTGTTTGAGCCTCCATTTCCTCGTCGGCCGAGCGCCGTGGCGGGAGGAAGGCCCATACAAGGCCCATGATACACATCAGAGAGAACATGAAATCGGAGCCACACGTTGGGACGTGTCCCCATACCCGCGCGCCGGAGTGACGGGCAGAAAGCAGCCCAGCGGGCTCGCACACTCACCGTGCTGGGTGAGGACGGACGCTGGGTGGAGCAGCACCGTGACCAGGACGGCTGTGGCCAGTGGACCCATGGGGCCACCGGAGGGACACGGCGACCCTGGAGAGAGATAGAGTCACACTTGTGCAGAGCCCGCTGCCGCGGGGATTCTGGGCGGACGGACTCAGCGGGGTTCACATGTGGAACTCAGCCCGATCATCGGGGACCATGCCCGCAGGCCACCATCCCGGACTCCCTCCCCCCTGCAAAGTGCCTTCGCCACGCACGAGGGACAGAGCGTCCCACGGCGTGGTGGCCGTCCGGGCCCCTGGCTGGACGGGCGGGAACTCGGGTCCCTTTCTGTGGCCACCCGCTGACAAGCTCTGTGTGACTGCCACTGAGGTCCGTGCCGACGGAAATCACATCCTGCCCTGTGTCCCGCTGGTTCGCGAAGCAGGCGACGGTCCCGGCCGAATCAGGCCTGGGAGTGCGTTTCCGTACCGGGGGGGGGGCCCCCACGCCCCCTGCGACCCTGCCCCCTTCGTAGTTCCGGGGTGCCCGCCGACTCTCACAGGGGAGCAGGTCCTTTCGCAGCAGCCCAAGAGGCCTGGGTTCTAAGTTTCTCTTAATAAACTGGGTTCATCGCCAGCCTCTCCTTTCCCGCCTTGCCTGGTGTTGGGTTCCAGATGGAGGCTTGTCTCTGGCCGTGTGTATGCACGAGCCAGGAAAGGCCAGGTAGCCCCAGGAGCCGCAGTTAGGACGTGGGCATCCTGGGGTTACGCAGTCCAGCCCCACACAGCAGCCAGACCGAGCGCCCAGGACACATGTCCCTATACGCACATGCACTGCCCCCAAGGACGGAGAAGACGGAATGTCCAGGTGTGTCTCCGCTGCACCTGCCTTACCTGGCGCCAGGACACGCCTTTCTCTCTGCGCCCGAGCTCAGGGCGCAGCCCACAGTCACCCCCTTATTCTCCATGCGAAGGTTTCATTTCTCTAAGTTTACCCCCTACTTGGGGGCTTCTGCTTTCAAGTTCCCGAGTCTGAGCCCTGGCAGCCACACAGCGAGGGCGGGGCTTCAGTGACCCCAGACATTCTCATGCCCACAGATGCTGTATGATGTCCCAGATCCGCGGCATTTGAGGGACAAAACCAATGCCACAGTGGTGGCTGGAGAGGTGGAGCTGGGGGGGCGGGGTGGAAAGTGTGGAGGGACCGAGACGTTTGGGTTATAGTCACAGAGTAGCCATAGGGATAATAGTACAGTCCAGCACAGGAAACATAGCAATATCACAATCATGACACATTAATAAAAAAAAGCTGTAAACACCGGTCTATTGAAAATGATCTACAAGCTGAAGTTTGAAAGCCAAGTGCTTTGCTCAGTCCACGGGGCTGGGCTGGCGTCTGTGGGTCCCCCGGCTTCTCGTGTCCCCGACGCTGTTGTCACTGGGCGGGATCTTTGCCCGTAGCGGCTCCAATGTCTATGGTGCTCATCTATCCCGAGTGCCCGCTTGGGGACGCCAGGCTCGGCCCCTCCTGTCCCTGTGGCCCCGGGGACATCAGCCCTGTGCTGACCACCTGTCTTTTCTTTCACGTTCCTCTCTCTCTTTTGGGGCCCACGGTCCACGTTTTGTGTGGTGCCTTTGGGTTCGTGGACTCTGTTGGCTTAAATGCTGCACCCGTGTTCCTGGTGGGTTAGCTTTCCAGGGTCTGCGGCAACACAGGGCCACTGGTTTCCCTCCTTCCTTCCTCCTTCCCTCCTTCCCGTCCGCCCCCCCTTGCGGGCAATTCCGGGGATCAATTCCCCTTTCGTCCAGTGGTGCCCGGCACGCCCGTCCGGGGGCCCAGCCACCACGCCCACCGCAGTGTCCCCTGGTCCCTCTTGTTCTCGTTGCCGCTCCTTCTTGTCCCCACAGATGCCCTTCCGCTCTCTGCTGAGCAGGCAGCCCCACCACAGGGCTCCCCCAGGGATTCTCAAGGCCCCCGTGTACCTGCAAGACCCGCCGACCCGCTGAAGACCCCTCTACACCGGCGGTCAGCCCTGTGCTGCCCGGATTCCCCTCCCGGCTGACCGCTCTGTGACTGTCACCCGGGGGAATGCCCGGGTCCCGTGGTCCTTCTCCAACACCTCAGAGCCCTGTGCACCTGGGTGACACCCTGTCTCACCCAGCCACCATGCTCCAGTCCCAGGCCCCCCGTCCATCTCTCTGGGGCTCCCTGGCAACGTCAAGCTTGAACTTTGCACATTGGGTTCAAGGGTTAAATGTCCCGTCTCCCCACGGACCCGCCTGCGCCCCTACCTTCCACGTCTCTCGAAGCATCTGCCGGTTCATCGAGATCCCGAAGGCCTTTGACCATCCGCTCCCCGCTGTGGCCCAGGACAGCCCCGCCCACCCCCCACTTGGGCCACTGAGCCCCCGGGGGCACCACCCAGCCTCCGACCCACCCCTCCCAACCTGCCGCAGCCCTGTGTGGGGAAATTGCAGCCCCGGACACCACATCTGAGCCTCCGGGTCCGTGCCCGGCGGACGAGATGGGCAGTACCGGCTTCCTCCACCTGAAAGCTGGCCACGCCCACCCCAGCCCCCCTGCAGGTGTGTGTGTGGGGGTCTCTGCCCTGGGGTGGGAGCTAAAGGGGAGTGACCTCGGTCTAGAGACCACCTCAGTGGTGGCCGCCTGTCTCCTAGCACCTGCCTTCCGCCCACATTGGCACCCTTCTCACTTGTCACAATGCCCCACCCCTGGCAGCCGAGCCATGCTTAGCGAGGACAGAACAGGTGAAGGGGGACAGTGGCTGGGATGTGTCAGGTCTGTGTGGCTGTAGCCTGTGTCTCCCTTGCCAGAGCCCGCCACCGTCGCCCCTGGGTCCCCGTGGCCACAGGCGCCCGTGGTTGGGAAGAGACCCCAGCTCTCAGCCCCCAAAGCGATGTCCCCCCAGGAGGGAAGTGGACGCTGCCCGGAAGTGACTCGGTATCCGAGCCCCGAAACGAACGTCTTCCAAAGCCAAACGCCCTTTTACCACGATTGGGAAACCCTGTTAAGTTCTGCAAACTCCCCTCAGAAGAAAAGCCTCCGGGGTTAAAAATCTCCCCAAGAAGTCTATTCGACGGTTCCACTTTTAATCACACCGGTAGTTACCACAGCGGCCGGTCGGGCAGAAAGAACCACCCTCCCCTCCATCAGGATTCAGCTCCAGCCCGAAAGGAGCAGGGCTCCCACCCACCTTGTCTCCTTGTCCCTTGTCCGTCCCTCGTACCCAGCGTAGGAGGCACACCCTGCCACCGCCACCACAGACGTCCCCCAAACCAGAAGTTCGGGAACATCTCCCTGATTTACTGTCAGGTCACCGGGACCATCGTAAAATCATTCCCCTCTGACGTGCCCGCCTGAGACACAGAACGGCCACACAGGAGGGGGGCACCATTGCCTCTCTCTGCTTCCAGGGCTGTTTTGTCCCCGGACAGGACACCCGTCGCCCCGTCTCCGTCCCCCACCCCCTAGCAACCCCCTGCCTTGGGTCCCTGTGGCTTTTGTGCGGGAAGCTGTGGGCATTTCGGGTCAACAGAAATTCGTATCGTATTTGGGTGTTTGGCATGGACTTTCTCTTCTTTCGGCTGTCACCACGCTGTTCCCCTTCTCCTTGACCTAGATTTCAGCTTTCTAGAGATGTCAGCCTGGAGCGACGGCCTCTGCCCTCCCCTCTGCACAGTGTCCCTTGACCGTGAGTCACGGCGGAGAGCCGAGTGCTGCGGTCAGCAGGACGCTTGGACGCGCTTGGGTTTCGAGTTCCCTGCAGCCTGGACGACGGCCTCGGGTCATATGCAGGACTGAACGCCTTGGTCCCCCAGGACACATCCAGCTCTGCCCGGCCAGCGGCTCAGGCCGGTTGCTGGGACTTGGAGATACAAAGGGGCTGCCAGCCCGAGATCTCCTGACACACGGAGACCCCTGTTCGCCCTGTAGATGACGTACATGCCGCTGCTTCCAGATTTGCCCCAGCCTTTGGGGGCACTCCCTGTCCCCCCTGGGACACCGGGAAGCTGCCGGTGCATGCTGCCAAATCCCCGCGGCGAACGGACACCTTCAAACACAGCACCTGCGCGTCTTAGACTCACTGCCTGGCTCTGCTTCTCAGAGGGGTGCCCTTCCTCCGAGGACCCCTGTGTCCCACCCCGGGCTCCCCACCGACCTGGGGCATGGCCCGCCACCAGCGGCAACAAAAACAGAGAAACACACAGCAGTGACAACCCAGGCAACATCCACAGGAGGCAGCGCCGGCTTACCCTAGGACAGCGGGTCCTGCTCCGCCCGCCCGCCTTTATGCGCTCCGGCTCCCCACGCACCGGCCTGCCAGCATCAGCCCGAAAGCTGTGCACACGGACTGCACTCAGGAAATGTCAGCTCAACGCTGAAGTTTCTTGCGTGTTCAATTCCCTAACCTCCCCCTTTGTTGCCGCTCTTCCTCATTTCTGTTTCGTACGCGGTAGCTGTGGGCGCCGCAGAGGTGCCTGTGAAATGGAGGTGGGTGTTCATTCTCTAAGCACCGCAAAGAGGAAAGGCGAGCAAACAGAATGCGCGCATCGGGCTGCCTGTTCCTGGAGGGCAGCAGGTGCAACCGGGGGAAGGTCGTCTTCCAAAGAGGGGCCTGTGGTGCACCTCTTGTTTTCACTGGGGCCACGTCATCAAAGCCCTGGGCCATCGATGGAGAAATGGACCTTCCCAAGAAGTTTGCAGACTCACGAGGGGGGGCTGAGAGTGGACAGCACGCTGGGTGGTCTTCTTGTCCTCGGTAATGCAGGCCTGCCTGCGAACTCTGGGACGCGGGCCGGTTCTGTTCAATGCACCCCGTCAGGTCTTTCCTCAGCGCCCCAGGCGTGGGCACCTGGCAGAGGGGTGAGGAGGAGCTGCTCAGGAGAAGGCTGAGCAGCAGTTTCATGGGGGGGGAGGGGACGCAAGCAGGGAACTGGATGTTGCCACACAGAATGTGGTAACTTCCTCCTGAGTTGATGGAGAAGTGGGTGGCCACGGGCAGCCCCAGGCTGGGACGAGCGTCTTTTCATGAGTGGGCAGGTAGGCACGGAAGCTGAGCTCATGGGTCACGCGGCCTCAGGCCGTGGGTGGGGATGAGCCAGCTCTGCCCAGGCTGGTCGTCACACCTGAGGTGGCCGAGTTGGGGTGGCTGCCGCAGACCCCCGTCATGAGCTGGTTCTTAGTGCTGAGGAGTGGAAGGACAGCCGGGTGCGGGGGACCGCTGTGAGTGGGCAGGGGCAGGCAGAATGACCAGGACGGCGTAATGGCCAAAAGATGGGTATCGAGTTGGAGGAAAAGTAGAGTCAGCAAAGAGGGCAAGGGGGATGCAATCTGGTAGTGATGGTGATGATGAGGATGGTGTAGATGATCCTGATCATCATGGTGATGATGGAGGTCGTGAAGATCTGATGGATGATTGTAAACAAACGAACTACGGACCACAGCCCTGACTGGCCGACTCCTGTACCCCACCCCCGGGCCGAGTTCTAGAACCACAATGTGGGCACAAAATCTGTATTTGCCAGACATCTTCCGAGACACAGAGCCCGTGGGACGTGGGTGTGAATGGGGAGAAAAGAAGACCCTTTAAGGACTTGGCTCACAGGGTCCCCCCAAAACCTGCCAGGGGGACCAGCAGGCTGAGGACCCAGGGGAGGGGGCCCGAGGGCTGCCTGGGGGTGGGGCTGTCTCTAAATTCAATCGTGAGTGTCGGAAGGTGCTGCGGGCGTCTCTGTCCACAGCACCCCGAGGTCTCTGTGTGGCCCTGACTCCTGGAGACAGTCGTGAGTGTCTTCCAATCTGACCAGGGAACCGAGGCGGGACACTCCCGAACCAGCTCAGAAACGCCATCACCAGCACGCGGTCCTTTGAGAACCATGCCCCGCTCGCCAGGAGCTCCCAGTCCCGTGTCAGAGGCAGACACACGCGTGTCCGTGTGCAAAGGCAGCTGGTTCGCCGGGCCCGGAGGACACATTTGAACTGCACGGAGAGAAGATACAGGTCTTTTACACAAACGCGTACCAGGTCTGTCCAGAGAAAGTCCAGCCATCGTTCCTACAAGAGAACGGTTTGCATGAGATCCGTGTAACCGGGCAGCCAAGGAGAGTGGACTGGGATGCACATGCGTGAACAAGGACGACTTCACTGTACTCGTCAGTGGGGGTGGTAGATGCCATTGAGTGAGCATGTGCGCTGTGTGGCTGTCACATTCAAAATGAGCAAATAGAGCAAAGAATCTGCATCAGATTTTGTGTTCAGCTTGAACATTTCTCCATGGAAACTGGATGATTCAGAAGGCTGCAGCTATGGGCAACTGGTGATTGGCAGCTTCACCAGGACAGTGTGCCCAGTCATATATCACGTCTCATGCAGAGTTTTTTGGGGAAACATCCAATCACTCAGGTGACTCAGCCCCCTTACAGCCCATATTTGGTGCCTTGGGACGTCTGCCTTTTCCCAAAACTAAAATCACCTTTGAAAGGGAAGAGATTTCAGACCATCGACGAGATTCAGGAAAATACAACAGGGCAACTGATGGTGACTGGGAGAACCGTGTGCGGTCCCAAGGTGACTACTTTGAAGGGCACTGAGGCATCATTATCCTATGTACAATTTCTTGTATCTTGTACCTTCTTCCGTGAATGTCTCTATTTTTCACAGAGACACCTGCTGGGCACCTGCTGAACAGACCTCGTAAATACACACACATAACCACACACACAGACACAAAAGGTCTGCATGCTCTTAGGATAAAAAGAAGCATTTGAAAAGTTGATAAAGGCCACACGGCACTCATGTGGACAGACACACATCCCCGACCGACACTCTGTAGGGGCCACAAGTCTCCAGGGACAAACTGGGCCACGGTCATGACCGCAATTCCTTGCTAGCTGCCCCTGAATTACCCCACAGGGCTCTGTGCTTGGACACACTGTCTGCTAGTTGCTGTGTGGGCGAAACAAGCGAACAAACAAAGTAACACAAAGTAGCAGCAGTCCGAAAGCCCACCAGTACCAGCAACGTGAACACTGTGTTGCCATTCACACACCTTATACGGTGCCACTGTTGACAGAAATGAGTCCCCTCCCCAGCAGGGCCCAGAACCAGCTCTGCAATGTGTTTGGGGGGGGTGGGAAGGGACAAACAAAAGCCAGGAAGAGGGTACCGTGCAAGGCACGACCTGAGGTGAGTACAAAGAAATAACAGCCCTGCGGAAGCGCCGGAATGCACCCACTTTTATGAAAACGCATCGGAAAGCAACAATGGAATAAGAAGTGCCTGGGTGTCATCAGGGACAGATTAACCTTTCATCCACTATTCCCGAGAAGTTACTTAGGACGTGTCAGCCGTGGGAGATCCCCAGATATGCCTTGGAGTTCTGGCTTCCTTGCAAAGGCAAAGTTGCCCCCGCCCACCCCTCAGCGGCTCTGTGGGGCTGAGCCAGTGCGGTTTGGGGGGAATGATTTCATCCAGAAAACATCCCCCATCCCCGTCCCAGTGAGGAAGGGTTGGGGAGCCACCAGAGTTGCCGGAACCACAGCCTCAGCACCCAGAGAGGCAAATGGCCCTCAGACTTCCTGAACCACAGTTCCACGAAATCAGGAAGTCCCTGCTGATTGGGAATCCCTGAGCACTTCCAGACTTCCCTCCTCCCTTTGTTTTCGGAAAGGCCTGTCCCGAGGCCCCGCCCCTCCCCCCACCGAGGGGACATCTGCTTCCCCAGCAGGGTGGCTGGATGGGGTGTGTAAGCCTCAGGAGAGAGTGTGCCGTGCCGCGACCAGAAACACGAGACACCTTGACTTTCAGATCAACCACGACTCCACTTCTGTCTTAAAAAACCGTTTCGCCGCCACGGGCGGGGGTATCGGCACCAAACAGACTTTGTCACCGACCTGAAATGCAGACTTCACTGGGCACTCTGTGCCGTCCACCCGGGACGGACGGGACCTCAGCTCCAGCCGCACAGGGTGACACCGTTGCCTGTGCCCCCCAAGCCCAGAGGAGAAGTTTTGCACACACCCCTTTATCTGTGAGCTGCTTCCTATGCTGTGGACCAGGGCACTGGGACATCCAAGGGGTGGAAACCAGGAGCGGGTGGTCTGCGGCTCACTGGGGCGCCCTGCCCATTATTGAGTGCGGGGCGGGGGGGGGGCAGCTCTGATGGGGGAGCAGCCGGCGGACCCAGGCGAGGAATGGGTGGGTGTCTAGGCAGAGCGGGTGTGTGGTGTGTGCAGGGCTGTTCAGGGGCTGCTGCGGACCCTTAACCACCTCCCCTCCCTGCAACCCTCCAGTGTCCCGGGGCTGGGAGAACCGTGGAGGGTGTGGAACTCCCAGCTCAGAGACCTCAGGATTTCTGTTTGTCCTGCCTCCGTGAGCCACAGAGAGTCAGCTGCCTCCCAGACAAGGCACCTGGGGGGGGGGAGCGGAGGGGGTCGCAGGCCAGGGGGCAGGTGAGGAGTGAGGGCTGGGCCTTGTCTCGGTCCCTGTCTGCTTGAGTCTTAACCCCACCGTGAGGGACATGGTGATCTAAGCAAGCAGGAGGTCCACTCGGACCCTTTGTCTCTTCATCGGGAAGGGGACAAATACCCCTTGTTACCGCCCAGCGTGGTGGGGGTCCCTGCCACCAAAAAGGCAGAAGTGGCCGCTTTGCTGCCTGGGGACTTTTGGGGCAGGTAATCACGTCCATAAACCACATGTGTTCAAAGTGTGTCAGGGGCTCAGTGGCGCCCTGCCTGTGTACCTCTGACAGCGACTCTGCTCGCAATTCTGCGCCCTCTTCCCCACACCAAGCCGCCTAAACAGAAGCTGTCAAAGGTTCTGCTTCACGGAGTGGACGCCGCACTGGCGTTTCAGAGCGCACTGCTGACTCCTGGTGGCCAGAACTTCGATTCGAGGACAAGAGAAGGCAGGAGGCGCAGGAGCCTGGGTCCCTCTCACGAGGGACCCTGCCTTGCAGGACCCTCTGGCCCTGAGACAGGACCGGCTGAGAAGGCAGGTAGATGAAGCCCCTCTGTGCCCCAGCCGCTGTGGCCAGTGTCCCCACGTGGGTCAAACTGCGTGCCTCCCCTCCCCCCAACAAAAGCTGAAATTCGAACCCCTCCTACCATGCAGGAGACCTTGTGGGGAGACCACAGTTTTCAGGGCGGGTTCAGGGTTAGGAGAACGGTCTTCATGAAGTCTGACACCCAGTTCCATTGGGGTCCGTACGAGAAACAAATTGAGGGACCAAATCGCCTGCCAGACTGCAGGCTGCGGTTTGCGGACCACGAAGGAAATTTGCACCCCCCCAACACTCGCACACCTCACCCCAAACATGGGACAGCACAGACGTTCAAGGCACCTCACTCATTCTCTCCCTGTCTGCACTTACTCTTCACTGTCTTCCAGAACCACGGGCTTGGTCTGTGCTCTTACTTGCCTGGAGAGTGGGTTCTGAAGGCAAGAGCTGAGCCAGGCCAACTGGTCTCGTCCTTGGGGGTCGGTCCATGGCCACCCGCCGCTCCCTCGCCGTGGGTGTCCCTGACAGGCAGAGCTGCTTTCTGAGCTGGGCCATTTTAGGAGTTTCTGGGGGATTTCACACCGGCTTGTTTCTGTGCCACATCCGAAAGGCGGTCACGCTGGAGTGAGGAACGTTCTGGGAGGCTGTAACGGATGACCACCAAGCAGGGGTTGAACACAACATAAACCCACCCTCCCCACCCTGGAGACCGGACCTCTGCGGTCATCCAGGGGTCCCGGGCTAAGCTCCCTCCGCAGGCTCCAGGGAGGGGCCTTCCCGCCTCTTCCAGCTCCGGGGGCTCCAGACGTCCCTCCCGTCTCTGCCTCCGTCTCCACGTGGCTTCTCCTCCGTGTCTGCGTCTCCTCTT